TCAAGGCGCGAGACAGGAACAGCAGGGTCGGTAACAAGAGAGGCAAGGACCCGAGGGACAAGGGGATGAGCAGCACGGAGGTAGTCAGAGAACGGAGGAGGTGCAACAGCAAGGGACGAGGGAGGAGGGGACGGGAGGAGGGGAGGACGAGACGAGTGGGAACGGAGCAACATAGGGTGGGTGGGCAGGACAGGAGAGACGGGACGAGCACGGGAGGGACGGCGAGCCCAAACGTGAGACGGAGGGGTAGGGTCAGGGGACAGCGGAGGAGACACAGGAGGGGAACGAGGAGGAAGACGGGCCGGAGACGAGTCTGGCGGCGGGAACACAGGACCGTAGACAGGGAGGTCAGGAGGCAGTGGGGGAGACACCGGCGCGCGGTCCGGGGAGGGAAGGCCGAGCAGGCGGAGAGCGGAAACCGGCGGCGACGGCTGCTGTGGCGGCGACGACGGCTGGGCCGGAACTCTCGGACCAGCAGAGGCAGAACGACCGTCGGCAGAACACTCAACAGCAGCACCCCCAGAACCAACACCCCAAGAGCGAGAACCCCCTCCAACACCAGCGGCACCCCCAGAAGCCGCAGGACGAACACCCTCCTCCACACCAGCACCCCCAGGGGCCGAGAGCAGCGGCGGCAGTGGCGGCGACAGCGGCGACGGCTGCGGCGGCGACGGCGACGGCGGCGGCAGCGGGGTCGGCGACTGCGACAGTGGGGGCGGAGGCACTGGGGAAGGGGGACGCGGCAAGGACGGACCGGGGGTACCACCAGAGTCAGCAGACTCCTCAACGGGGACAACCGACGGGAGGGGAGTGACGTGGGAGACACCAGACGGGGCAGGACGAGGCGGGAGAGGGGCAGGGGCTACCGGGGGAGAGGGAGCAAGGAAAAGGGGGGGGGCAACTGGGAGACCTCGGTGAGGGAAGCGGCGGTAGAAGGAGACGGACTCGTCAAAGGTGACGTCACGAGAGTGGAGGAAGCGGTGAGACGGCGGGTGGTAGAAAAGCCAGTCAGACGAGTCCAGGGGGAAACCGAGGAAGACACAGGGGACAGTGCGGGCAGTGAGCTTGTCCGTGCCAGAGGCACGAACGTGAGCAAGGCAGCCCCAGACGTGGAACGCAGACGCGTCACCGGGGGACCCGGTCCAAAGGAGGGTCGGCGAAACCTGCGGCCGCTGGGAGCGTGGCCACAGGTTAAGCTGGTGAGCCGCGTAGCGAACAGCGAACGGCCACAGAAAATGGGGGGCATCGGCATGGATCATGGAGGTACGGGCGACCTCCATGACCAAGCCGATGCGGCGCTCAGCAACCCCATTCTGCTGTGGCGAGTCCGGCAACGTGTACGACTGGGTGATGCCCTCCGCACGACAGAACTGTCCAAGCCGACCGGAGGCGAACTCGCCGCCACGGTCGGAGTGGAGACACAACACGGGGAGACCGCGGTGGAGACGCGCAGCTACAACCCACGGGAGAAGAACGTCGGGCACGTCGGCCTTCCGCTCCAGGGGAAACACCGTGGTGTAGCGCGTGTAGTCGTCAACGAGCACAAGGAAGTAGCGCTCACCGCGCGGTCCGGGGACGGGGGCAGGGCCCCAAACGTCCAAGTGCAGGGTCTGAAGGGGGGCAGTAGCAGGACGCAGCGAGGAGGAGTGAGGAGCACGGCGGAGCCGACCCTCGACGCAAGGCGTGCACGGTGGCGCAGTCAAGGGAGGAAGGGCAGGGAGCGACGCGGGGAGACCTAAGACAAGACCGTGCTGGGACATGTGACGCAGACGCGGGAGAGCAGGGTGACCTAAGCGGTGGTGCCAGAGAAGGGAGGGGTGAGTGAGGGACCGACACGAGCAAGCTGCAGCGACCTGGGAGGACGCACCAACCGGGGGGGAAGCGGTGTGTAGGGTAAACAGACCGGACACCGGGTCCCGGGGGAACGTCGCAAGGGGGGAACCGGAGACAGCCTCAGAACAGACAGCGAACCGCTCGTGCCCGGGGAACGTGGTGGTGACGCCGAGGTCCTGGAGACAGCCGACACCAACCAGGTTCCTGGAGAACGAGGGAACGTGGAGGCCAGTAAGGGAGCCCGAGGGAACTGCCGGACAGGGAAGGGACGTAGAACTGCGCGCGACGACCGGACCCGCAGAGGGGTCAGCGAGAGAGACAACAGCAGGTGCAGCAAGCGGCGTGAGCGTGGAACGGTCGCGGAAGAAGCAGGCAGAAGCACCAGAGTCAAGAGTGAAGGACAGCGACGCAGTGGCGGAGGCCGCGGACGGAGCCGGTGCAGCGACTAGACTAGGCAACCTAGGCAGTCCTACGCCTGTCGCAGCAGGGGAAGCTAAGCTACACAAGGGTGAAACACCTAAACTAGAGTACACATGGTAGTAAGATCCATCAACACTAGAAGCGTCAGCATACAAAGCATGCAAAGCAGCACCTATCTGATCCATGTCTAACTCAAAGATCGGCACGCCCTGGCGGAGCAGGCTGTGCCAGTCAGGGAGGTCCGGGGCCGGGCCAAAGCGACGACGAAAAAGATCGTCGAGGCGGCGGAAACAGTGGGCGGTCGGGTGCGGGCGGCGGCACAGAGTGCCGCGGAGAGGCCCGGTCTGAAGCTGGTACTGGCAGGTCACAGCACTGGAGCCGCTGGTAGACGCCAAGCTGCGCGGGCCGCCACCACGGCCACCGCCTCCGGAGGTGCCGGGCCAACCAGGCGGGAGACGAGCCCACGGCTGCGGCGGGTGCTGCTGGGACGGCGGCTGCGGCTGGGGCTGGTCCTGCTGCTGCTGGGACTGCTGCTCCTGCCCACCGGTGGTAGTCCCCTCAGGCGGACTACCGTCACCACCACCACGACCACTACCACCTGCGTCACCACCCCTACCTCCCTGGCGGCCACGGCCACCGCGACGCGAGCGCTGCTGCGGGTGGACAGCAGCAGCCGTCTCGGTAAGAGGGGTCGCCGTGGCGACCGCAGCCGAAACGTCAGTGAACGTGCACGGGGATGGGGCACAACCGTGAAAGATAGAGACTGCCGGCGCACCGCTCGACTGAGCGATAGTGCGCTGGCGAGTCTCGATCTCAGTGAGGGTGTCGACAAAGGCGGTCAGGGTGAGGTCACCCGGGTGCTGGCTAAGAAAGTGGTCGCGAGCACTAGCGAGGCGGTCTGGCAGGCGCATAGCGATAAAATAGAGCGTCATGCAGAAAGGAGGGGGGAGCGCAGTGAGCTGGGCAGCAGTGCTGGCAGTGCGATAGCGAGTCTCTAGGGCACGCAAATGAGTGGCAAAATCTGCGACAGTAGGGAAGGCAGCCAGGTCTGGGAACAGCATCGGAAAGAGCAAGCGGCCAGCAGAAGCGGAGGCAGGGGTGGAATAGCGAGCAATAACGGCGTCTAAATAAGCTTTGGCCGTTTCAACAGTAGCAAAACGCGAGCGCTCAGACACAGGGAGGGCGTGACTAATAGCAACCTGAGCTACTGCATCGCGTGAGTCCCAGACCGCACAGGCTAGCGCAGCAGTAGAGAAAGCCTCACGGTCATCAGAGGAGGGGTCAGCAGGGAGGGGAGTAGGTGCAGGGGGACGGGGGAGCAAGCCATCAGCATGGACAACCAGAGAGTGGCCATCCTGGCGCTGACCTGTAAGCTGGCGGCGAAGATCGGAGAGCCAGGCGGCGAAGTCAACCGCGTGGCCCTCAGCGTCCAGGCGGAGCACAAAGTCAGCCATCGTGCAGGGTCAGCGGCACAGCTCCTCAGCGACACAGCGGCACAGCAGCACAGCTCCTCAGCGGCACAGGAGCACAGCGGCGCGGGGACACGGCGGCAGCACTCTCCAGTAGGGCAGCAGCTAGGCGTCCCAGCGCAGGCAAGCAGAAGACACAGGGCCCGAGAGGACACGGCAGGCCGAGCAGGGGAGGCGGGCAGGTGCTCTGGGGCCGGGCTGGTGCTGGGAGGGGCCAGGCTGGTGCTGCTGGGGCCGGTCGGGCACGAGGAGGGGCCGGGCAGCGCTGAGGAGAGGCCGGGCGGCGCTAGGAAGGGGCCGGGCGGCACTAGGAGGAGGCCGGGCGGCACTAGGAGGAGGCCGAGCGGCACTAGGAGGAGGCCAGGCGGGCGAGCGCTAACAGCAGGCGCGACAGGGGCCAGCGGGCGCGACGGGGCCTAAGGGGCGCGACGGGGCCCAGCGGGCACGACGGGGCCCAGGGGGGGCGCGACGGGGCCGAGGAGGCGCGACGGGGACCAGCGGGCACGACGGGGCCCATGGGGGCCGCGACGGGGCCTAACGGGCGCGACGGGGCCCAGGGGGGGCGCGACGGGGCCTAGCAGGCGCGACGGGGCCTAGGAAGCGCGAAGGGGCCCAGCGGGCGCGACGGGGCCTAGGAGGGGCGCGACGGGGCCGAACGGGCGCGACGGGGCCCAGAGGGGGGGGACGCGACGGGGCTTAGGAGGCGCGACGATGCCTAGGAGGCACGACGGGGCTCAGCGGGCTCGACGGGGCCCATGGGGGGCGCGACGGGGCCTAGGAGGCGCAACGGGGCCCAGCGGGGGCGAGTTAGGGCCTAGGGGTCGCGACGGGACCCAGTGGGCGCGACGGGGCCCAGGGGGAGCGCGACGGGGCCTAGGAGGCGCGACGGGGCCCAGCGGGCACGACGGGGCCCAGGGGGGGCGCGACGGGGCCTAACGAGCGCGACGGGGCCCAGGGGGGGCGCGACGGGGCCTAGGGGGCGCGACGGGGCCTAGGAGGCGCGACGGGCGGAAGCGGTAGGCGGGGGGATCCTAACCTAAGCGTGATACCATGTTAACGTAGAAACGAATGATTTACTAGAGGTGGAAACCTAGAACAAATACTAGTTGGTTGTACTCACTAGAAGCATACCTCAGTCTAGCCTATAACTTCTACATAGATAATATGTATAAGTTGACATAAACCACCCGCGGAGTGACTATTTCGGCGGGTGTTATATACGGGGGATTACGGTACATCGGGCATGGGGCTAGTGCTAAGAGGATGTAGGTCAGTGGTCCTAACAGGGCACATATATTGTTTTAGGCTAGATATGTGCATGCTCAGAGAGAGTACAGCACCATAGCACAAAACCTGTTTGTATGCCTCATTCTAGTCATTGCGTTATTCTGAGAATAGGAGCCATTAATGAGTAGCAATAATCTGGATTAAACTTCTGCAAGTAATCTTCTGCCCACAAAGTATTAGTCCTCTTGAGAGGGTCGGCTGCCAGGGAAGAGACGTGAGGCGGGCATGTTGAGCACCTCCCCCGACACTATGGGCGGCATGGAGCGGTCTATGGGCACATAGGTTGTGCGGGGGGGCGAGGGGTCCGTGGGCTCGGGAGGGGGGCTGGGGATATCGGAGTGGGGGCGGGAGAGGCTGCCGCAGCAGAAGAGGTGCGCCATGAGGTCGGCCATGAAGAGCTGCATGCGCCGCGGCTGCTCCACGTCCTCCTCCGGGGACAGCGTGGGCGGCACCGCCGCATGCAGCGCCGCCTTCTCCGCCTCCACATCCACCTCTGCCGGCCGCCCACCGGGATCCATCAGTAGCCGGATGAGTGACGACGCCACGCTGGCGATGCTTCCACCCACTGAGCTGCCGCCGCTGACGGACACCCTTCCTCTTCTTTCGGGCCTCTCCAACCGCGGGGGGCTCTGTGAGCGGCTGCCCAAGCACCTGAACACCACCGGTCTAGGGGTAGGATGGGCAGCTGCACGTCAGCCTCTTCACAACGGCACGGCTCACCGGCCGCCCTGGCAATCCGAATAGTTCACTGCACTGCACTGGGACGCCTCTTTGATATGTGCATTGCACCGCAGCGCGGTCACAGCGCGCCACCCATCCCTGCAGCCACCACAGCTTGTGGCGCTGCCAGGAACGAGGCAATGAAAGGTGAACAGAAAAAACGGCTCGGATGAGCACGGAGAGAGTAGGCATGGAGAGAGTAGGCATGGAGAGAGTAGGCATGGAGAGCGTGAGCAAGGAGATAGGCAAGATGTTGACAATGGGAGATGGTGGTATGCTGTTCAGCAGCGATGGCAGCAGCGAGTGGGTCAAGTCCCGCTCTTCATCGCGTGTTGCGCCATGCTCAAATCATCGGCCGACACCGCAACGGATATGACAGACACGCAGCGCGCACGCACCCAAAGATCTCGGCGCGCGCGCGTGCTACGCACCCAGCACACACGGCGCGCACCCAGCACACACGGCGCGCGCCCAGCGCACACGGCGGCCCCCCAGCAGACGCGGCGGAAGACTAACCGGAAACGACAGCGAGTGCGACGGCGCTGATCGACGCGACGGGGTAAACTGGAGGATGGATCCACCGGTCCTGCAGTCGATCGCGAGGTCGGATGCCGGCTGCCGCACCACGACTGCCGCAGCCCCGTGCGACAACAGCTGGGCGAAGAGCGAGCGCGGAAATAAAGAGATCTTGCTGCGCGCTGCTTGAGCGCCGTGAGGGCAGGAACGAGACGCGACGACTTGCTAATACTCTACTGTACTCTACTGTGCTCTACTGTGCTCTACTGTACTGTGGTGAATCTTGCGAGTGCACGCAGGGAAGGCAAGCAGGCAAGCTGTTGGAGCTGGTTCAGGTGGCGCTGTTGATGGCGGGGGAGGGTTGTATTTGCCCTGCAACTTTCAAGGTTCATCCAAGGTGGTAACTGGCGAAAGGTGAGAACGTTTGAGTCGCCCTTCTTTCGCGAACCTCGATACAGCGCTGTATTTTGTTCTCGAAGGCTCCAAGCCAAACCGAACCAAACCTGCAAGCCCCCGCCAACACTTGAAGCCTAAACAGCAAAACCATATCTTTCCCAGTCAAGTCCACCATTGTCCGCATGGCCGCAACTCGTCTGCTCAAGCCGTGGCGTTGCAAGATATGGGCCCGACGGTCTCACGCAGCCGACATACGCCACGACCGGGACTGATCGGCGTTGAACGCATATGTAGATCTTCAGCGCATTGTCCCTGCAGTATCATTCGCGGCGGTGCTCGCTGACCGCATTGTAGCGCATCACGCTATACCGCATCGCAGTTTAGCGCGCGGCGATGTCGCGCATGGTGCAGTGTCCGCGGTGCCGCGCCATTCTGCAGGAGCCGCCCATGGGGCACCCCTTCTACAAGTGCGGCAGCTGCCTCACCGTGCTGCAAGGTGACTCCTCTCCGCTTGCCTTCCGCGCCCCCTCTCTCGCCTCCGCTTGCCTTCCGCGCCCCCTCTCTCGCCCCCTCTCTCGCCCCCTCTCTCGCCCCCGCTCTCGCCTCCTCTTTCTGCGTCCCGCCACGTGCCTCCGCCCCGGCCTCCCCTGGCCGCCACAGCGTCGCCGGCTGCGGTCCCCCCGACTCGATCTCGGCCCTTCACGGCGCCCGCCGCGGGTAGCTCGCGGAGCTCGAGGCTTGTTCTGAGAGGCTCGGCGGAGCAGCGACGCTCATCAGCCGTCGCAATGCTCCATCAGCCGCGACTCCTTGGCTCCCTAGCTCCCCCCTGCTGGATTTATTATCGTTTTGCGCCCTTCGTTTTACCTATCAAACCTGCTCCCATTCCTTCCCTCCAACAAACCCTCCCGCTCTCCCCCCCGTCCCCCCTCCCCCCCCCGTCCCCCCTCTCCCCCTCTTCCGCCCTCCTGCTCCCGCCATCAGCGAAGCACGCGGTGGGCGCGGCGGGGCCGCGGCACCCGGTGGGCGTGGACGTGCCGCTGCCGCGCTCCTCGTCCCCCGCCAACCCCTCCGCGCGCATGGCCGCGCCTGCCGCGCCTTCCGCTGCAGCTCTGCGGGGAGGAGGTGAGGGGGAGCGGGAAGGCGCGGGAGAAGCGGGTGCGGGCAGCGAGGGGGCGAAGTTCCAACGTGCGGGGAGCACAGGTGGCGGGGAGGACGACATGGAGAGACACCAGTGGCAGCAGCAGCAGCAGCAGCAGCAGTCTCCCCAGCACTCGCCGGCGCACATGATGGTGCCTCGCCAGCGCACCATGCCCTCGCGTCTCTCCCCCGCCCTCCACTCCCCTCACTCCGCCGCCTCCTCCTTCTCCCTCGCTGTGCCCCCCCCTTCCGCCCTCAGTCGCCCTGGCAGTAGCGAGGGCCCCCCGCCCCCAGGGGGCGAGAGCAGCAGCGAGCGCACGGGCCAGCGGGGCCAAGGGGACCTGCCCCGCCAAACCACTCTGCCCCCCCGCCTCCCCCACGCGCCCCGCTTCAGACAGCCCCTGGGGCAACCCTCCCCCGGCCTGAGAGTGGCCTCCCCAGACCTGCGCGCGCCTGTTGCAGCAGCGGAGACAGGGGGGATGTGGGGGAGCAGTGGCGCGCAGGGGGGAGAAGAGGGGAGCGGGGACGAGGCGGGGGAGGAGGGGGAGGGCGTGGCGGAGCTGACGCGGCAGATGACGATGCCAGAGGGTGCGGCAGGGGAGGGCGGGCGGTGGAGGGAGATGGGCGCGCCGAGCCGGGGGCTGCTGCGGCAGCTGACGGACCCCCAGGAGAACCGACCCACGGCCAGAGTCGTGCACAGCGGCCACACAGGGGGGGACAGTGCTGGCGCGGAGGGGCAGGGGGGGGAGGGCGGGGGCATGGGCATGGGCATGGGCATGGGCATGGGCATGGGCATGGGCAGTAGGGCGGGCGACTGGGGTGACAGTGCACCGGCGTTGGCAGCAGCAGCATCCAGCTCCGCGTCGCCCTCTCTCATTCACATCCTCACGAGGCAGCGCTCGCAGCGCAGCCGAGCCAACGAGCTGGAGGGGGGCGCAGGAGGTGAGGCGGGGGAGCACGTGGCCGATGGGGCACACAGAGCCGCGGAGAGGGGGGGGCTAGTGGGTGGTATGGGCGACAGTGGGCAAGGGGGAGTGGGCAAGGGCAGGGGTGGGCATGAGGGGCGGTACCTGGTGCGGCTCAAGGGCGACGAGGAGGATGGCGAGCACGCGGGGCGCAGTGACTCGTATGGCGCGACCTCAGACCTGGTCATGGGCATGGCGGACATGGGCATGGCGGACATGGGTGCGCACACCACCTCGGGCCTCATTCGCCAGCGCACCATGCCGCTGCCCTCCCCCGCCCACCGTGTGCTCTCTGCTGCGCCAGCTCTCCCCTCTCGCCCCTCCCCCACGGGCAGCCCCATGGCCAGCAGCGCCCACAGCCGTGACAGCAGCGCGGCCAGCCCGTCTGCCTCGCACGCCCACGTATGGCTGCCCCGCCAGCACACTATGCCCGCCTCCCTGCCGCCCCCCGTGCCCACCCCGGCGTCCCCTGCAGGGGCAGGGGCAGGGGCAGGAGCAGGGGCAGGGGCGGAGGCGAGTGGGGCGAGTGGGGCGGGTGGGGCGCGGGGGTTGAGGGAGCGTCGGCCGCTGGCGTCGAAACTGAAGGCGCTGTGGGACCTCAAGCCGCTCAGGGGGGCGGGCGGTGAGGGCGCGGGCGAGGGGGGCAAGGGGGCCAGCGCGTGGCGGCTGCCCCCCGTGGGGCAGGTGAGCCCGCTGCAGGGCGCTGCGCGGTACGTGCAGCAGGCATTCGCCCAGCGCTCGCCCAAACCCACCAAGGCTACCACGCAGCTGACGCAGCAGCAAGGTCCTGGTGGCAGGGAGCAAGGGAGGGAGGGCGGCAGCAGTGGGGGCGTGACAGAGGGGAGGGGAGACGGGGCAGCAGGCAGAGGGGCGGTGAATGGCGTGGGCGAGGGGGGCGGTGCAGAGGCGGGCGAGCAGTGGGGGATGGAGGGCGTGGTGGCGCGGCGCAGCGGGCGGGTGGAGGAGCAGCAGATGTGGAACAGCGGCGCCGTGGCCATGTCCGAGGGCAGAGGCACAGGCGCAGGGGCCATGCCGCCGCACATGGGCATGGGCGCGGCCATGGGCTTGGGGGTGCACTCATACTCCATGCACATGGGTATGGGTGCTGGCGTGGGCATGGGCATGGGCATGGGCGTGCAATCATACTCCATGCACATGGGCATGCCCTTGCGATCAGCCTCTCACGCCCCGCACATGGCAGTGGACCAGGCCATGGGCATGGATGGGGCCAGGAGGAGCATGGGGGGCGGAGGGGGCGCGCAGGACGAGGCGAGGGCGGCAGTGGAGGAGGCGCGTGGCGCGGGCGTGTATAGGAGGAGCGCCAGCACGAGGGGCGCGGATGGCAGCGCGGGGAGGGGGGCAGCAGGGCAGGGGGGCGACAGGGACACGGGGGAGACGATGGGGGGGAGGGAGGCACGGGGGTGGGGCAGTGGGGAGATGGGGAGTGGTGCGGGCAGTGCGGCAGGAGCAGGGCGCATGGAGGCGTATGGGGCGGAACAGGGCATGGGCCATTATGGGGCAGAGCAGGGCATGGACCATTATGGGGGCACACATGGCCTTGCCAACGCGCAGGCGCAGCATCAGAGGGGGCGCGCAGCAGGGATGGGGATGGCAGGAGAGGAGACAGCAGCAAAGCCAGCGCAAGGGCGCACGGGCAGCGAGCTGCAGACATCCGCCCAGCCACCCGCGGAGCTGCCATGGCTTCCACCGCCAGACGCCCCTCAGTTGGTGCAGGTACTGGCGGCCATGGCGGGACCCACGTGACGGGGCCCTGCACATAGTGGGGGGTCATGGGGCAAAGACTGGCAGGGCGTGGAGCACACATGAGTGCATGCACGCACGTGAGGAGCAGCCCCACAACTCACCCTACCACCTGATGTTCCTCTTCCTCCTTCCATCTCTCTTGCCTCCCCTCACCAACCCCCCTGTATTTCCATGCAGTGCCAGCACTGCGGCCAGATGCTAGCGGTGCCGCACAACCTGCCGCGCAGCCGCAAGAACAAGATGGTGCAGCGCCTCAGGTGCGGGAGCTGCCTCGACATCTCCTCCTTCGCCATCCCGCCCCCACCCCCCGCCCCCTTCCCCTCCACCCAATCCCTGCCCCTTCACCTGCAAGCCCAGCCCTCTCACCTTGCCTCCGACCCTCCCGCAGCTGTTCCCCCTCCCGCATTCAACCAGCAGCACCAGCAGCAGCAGCAGCAGCAGCAGCAGCAGCAGCAGCAGCATGACCGCTTGAGCCAGCAGCAGCCACAGCAGGCGTGGCAGGGTGCAGCCCCCATGAGCAAGTCATCCTCGTCCCCCGGCATGCACCTGTCTGCTGCTGCCTCTCCCGCCCACTCCTCCTCGCGCTCCCCCCTCCCCCACCCCCACCACCACCTCCCCTCTGCCTCCTCCTCGCCTTTCTCCCCTCCCCCACCCGCTGCTGACTGGACACCCCCCCCTGCCAACTGGACGGAGAGGGCGGCGGATTCTCCGGTGATGCAGCGCCTGCACAACGGGGTGCGGGCGGGGCGGGAGGAGCCGCAGCAGTGGGGGGCGGCAGGGGCGGGGGGGAGGGGGCAGGGCGGGCTGGAAGATGAGCTGGGCGCCAGCTGGCAGGGGGAGGGGCAGTGGGGGGGCGGGCGGCAGGAGGCATATGGCGGTGGGGGTGGGGGTGGGGAGGGGGGGTACTCGCGGGAGCTGGACACGTTTGAGCGGGGCGTGGTGGTGAACGGCAGCCCCATTGCAGACGCGCTCGTGGCTCAAGCTGAATTCTCCGCCGGGCCCATTGACCCTGGCAACTACTGGTACCACCCCGCGCCTCCTGCTGCTGCTGCTGCTGCTTCTGCTGCTGCTGCTGCTGCTGCCTCCATGCTGCCTTGCATGCCACGAGCCTGCTTCCACTTGTGCCGTGCACTGAACCCCGCCTAACCCTGCTGGTGTCATGCACTGCCTCTCACCTGCCGCTCCTTGCACCCCACCATGCTGCCTCCCCCAGGTACGACCACAGGGCGGGCTTCTGGGGAGTGGTGGGGGGCCCGTGTCTCGGCATCATTCCTGTAAGCCACCCCTCGCCCGCCCGCTTCTCTCTGCCTTTGTAATCACCGTCAATCACAGAACCTCCTGTGAGTTGCACCGCTCTGAACACCCCACTAGCGCCCGGCCCCTGTGTGCGTGCAGGCGCGCATGGCCCAGTTTGCAGAGCCCATGCGGCGGGACTGTGCAGCGGGGCGCACGGGCGTGGTGGTGAACGGCAGGGAGCTGCAGCGCCGTGACCTCGAGCCCCTCGTGCGACGGGGCGTGCCCGCGGTGCCCCACAGGGCGTACCTCCTTGACCCCAACGGCCAAGTGCTCGACGCTGCCTCGGGCTCCCTTGTCGCCAACCTGGGGCCCCTCGCACCCTCGTGAGTGGCTTTCTGCTGTGGCATGGCATGCCTGTCCTCCCTGCATGGATGCTTTCCATTCAGGACTCGTATGCACCCGCTCGCCCGACGCCCGCAACCTAGATGTCGTGCATGGCATGATAATGCATGCTTCACATGCAACCCGCATCTGTTTCTCTTGTTCAACTTGCAGCTTCTTCTCTCCCCCTCTCTCCTCCCCCCCCCCCAACCACCCCTTGTGCAGGCTGAAAACCAAGCGAGGGAATGGCATGTTCACTCCACAAACAAACTGAACTTCTCAACCTTGCGTTTATCCTGGTTCTTAGTCCATGTATCACAACCGCGATAGGGCGCGAGAGCCCAAGTAGGCAGGAAAAGCCCTTAATAGATGTCTGAAGCTGGTGTAAAATTGCTTAGAGATTATTGATTTGTTTCACACTTCCATAAGCTTCCCCCAATGTCATTGATTGTGAAATCGCTCTGCGCGACTGTACCGAACCGAGGTTCCAGCATTTTTGCGCAAGAGCGGGAAGACTCGCCCCCGTTCACCAGGGTGCGACGCGGTCAGTGCTCGGGGTCGGGGGAGCCTGGATTGTTCTGGGCTGGATCAGATCCCGAGAGCTGTCGCGGCGTCGCGCGGGGAGCTGGGCTGGCAGAAGCGGCCCTGACACGACAATGTCCAGGCGGGGTGGGGCAAACATTCCAGACACCCCTCCCGTCTCGTTGCGCTCATCCCAAGGCTGGGCAGGGCAACTCCTTAGCTGCTCGACCTGATTCGCTTCTGGGTCCAGTTTGTCTCAGTAGATCACCACTTCCTCCCTTGCTTTCAGCGCTCGATGTTTCCTTAGACTAGAACACGATGGCAGGAGCATATAAGTCAGGTAGATATGATGGCTATGGCGCTTCGTTCGATTCCCGATCGCGGTATTACGAGACACCGCAGCGCGAGAGAGACAGAGCGCTGTCCGCGTCGGACGAGGAAAGCCGCTGCTGCAATCTCGTAGCGGCCGCGCAGCCAGCCGCGTGGGACGCGCCAGCGGCGGCAGCGGGGCCGTCGCCGTCCGTAGCGAGGGCGGCATCGTGGCTCATGCGGAAGGGCAGCCCGCCTCTCGACGCCACGCCGCCCGGCCTCCTGCCGGCGTCGCCGTCTCGCAGCTCCGACGAGCAGCCGTCCGTCGACCTCGAGATGGACGCCGGACGGCCCGCAGCCGAGCAGCCTGTGGAGCGGTCGAGCGCCGTGTGGCTGCCGCTGCCGTCGCCACGCGTGCAGGAGGAGTCCCTTAGCCAGGTGGCGCAGGAGACGCGGCGGCAAGCATCCGTTAGCGCAGCGCGTAAGCAGCAGAAGAGCGGCAGCAGAAATCTGCCTTGGTCGTTCCACCAGCTGCTCGAGGCGGAGACGCGGGGCGAGGAGCGAAGGGAAGCCGCGGAGCCGAGGAAGCCGATCGCACGGAGGAAGTCGCTCGAGGCGATACGGGTGAGCCGGGAGACGCGTGCCAGACGACAGGACGAGGAAGGCAGGGCGGCGCCACGTGATCACTCGCTAGAAAGAGTAGCGCGCCATCGATCATCGCACGCGGGTCGGAACCGTTCAATCCAAGCAGGCAGCACGCGAGACGTAAGAGGGCCATGGCCGCAGCGACGAAGCGCAGCGGGGCGGCGCGCGGAAGAAAAGGCAACGGCGAGCTCCGAGAGCTCGTCGGACAGCAGCGAGTACGAGAACAGAGCCGATGGCCCCCGCAGGGCACGGCGGGGGCGCGAGAAGAAAGGGGGAGCTGCGATGGGCGAAATCCCAAGGAGGGGTGCGATGGAAGGGGGTATAGCCACAGTCCTTGTGGACAACGGGTTGGAGGACGCGGTGGGCGAGCAGTGGGGCGCGCGAGACGAGGGGGAGGGGCTAGAGGGGCAGGGGGGGCTTGGCACGGGCATTCTGGTAGTGGGCCACCCCGTGCTGCCTGCTGACGTGGCTGCAGGCGGCGACGCAGAGGGTTTAGCAGGAGAGGCAGCAGGAGAGGAGGCGGTGCGGCTGGCGGGGCTACTGACGGACGACATGCTGCGGAGCAGCTTCCTGGACCCCGATAAGCGGGCGCTGGGGCTGGCGCATGACGACGAGGATAATGCCCGTGCTCACGACGCTGCTCACGACGCTGCTCATGACGCCACCCTCTCACACCACGCCCTCTTTCCTCCCCTCTCTCGCGCCTCACCCGCCTCAGCGCCGTCCCTCCGTGTCGCCTATCCGCACGCCGCCGACGCCCCTCGAGGCGGACTGGTCTTCGGTGTGCCCGTCTCCGCGCCTCTCCTTGGCGCCTCCTCCGCCTCCCTGTCGCCCTTTGCCGCCGCCGCAGCCTCTACCGCCGCATTCCTGGCGCCTCCGCGCTCGCTGTCAGCATCAGCTCCCGCGGGTGTGGCGGTACCGGCGCAGGTGACGCGGCTGCCGGTGTCGGTGCTGCAGCACGGCTCGCTCGTCTGTCTGCTGGCCGGCTCCTCGCGCCTGGCGGCCGTGCGCGCGCAGGGAAGGTACGCCCGCCATCGGATGCTCTCACGTGCTCTTGGGGGGGAAGGAGGAGGGGGGAAATGGGGGATGAGCGCGCATGCACCGTGCTCTCTGAAGCCCGCGAATCCGGTGGACGACGCTTACAGGTTCAGTCCCACTTCTAACCTCCACACTGGATTCATTTCCTTATCCGCCCGTCCCTCGCCCCGTGTTATCCCCGGTACCATCAACGGCCGGCAGGTGGGAGCTGGGAGCGCCGACGCCGTCAGCCACTCCCGACGCCACCCACCCCCTCGCCTCCCTGTCTGCTGATCCGCTCCGCCGTTCGCCGCACGCGGCGTCGCTGGCGGTGTGCGCATCGCTGACGGGCGGGCTGGGCCGCTGGCCGCTGGACTGCCTGTTCGTGCTGCTCGTCGTCGCGCCCGCGCGCGTCGCGCTGCGCTCCCTCGCCGCCGACGGGCGCTGCCTCTCCGCCGCGCTGCTGCCCGGCGAGCGGGACTCGTTCCGCACCTGGTGAGCGCTGCGGGGGGGGGAGAGGGGGGAAGGCAGAAAGGGGATGGCATGTATCATGATATGGTGCGCCTCCCGTGCCTCATGGGCGTCGTGCCTCATGGGCGCCGTGCCTCATGGGCGCCGTGCCTCATGCTCCTCCGAGTGCCCCTGCCCGCCACGTGTGCGCGCAGGTCCGTCAGCGACGCCGAGACGTGGGAGGTGCTGCCCGCTGACGCCGTGGGGGAAGGCGCGGCGGACGCAGGGGATGGAGGTGAGGAGAGTGCGGCGAGCGAGGGCGGGTGGAGCTGGGGGAGGGAGGGCGTAGTGGAGGGCGGCGTGCTGCTGCGCAGCTGCGCCAACCCCGCGCGCGTGCTGGACGTGGCGCTCTTCGGGCTGCTGGCCAAGACGCTCTCCGCCTGGCGCCACGTCGAGGCCGCCGCCGCCGCCGCGCCGATGCTGCACCACCAGGCGAGTGGAGGGAGGGGCAGCGGGGTCGCCCGTTTCCAGCACACCAACGAGGCTGTTTCTCGCTGCCTTGTGCCGCCATGCGTGGCCATGCTGCTGCCCTGTGTTGCCGTGTGCTCATGCTGCCCTGTGTTGCCGTGTGCTCATGCTGCCCTGTGCTGCCATGTGCTCATGCTGCCCTGTGTTGCCGTGTGCTCATGCTGCCCTGTGTTGCCGTGTGCTCATGCTGCCCTGTGCTGCCATGTGCTCATGCTGCCCTGTGCTGCCGTGTGCTCATGCTGCCCTGTGCTGCTCTATGTTCGTGGGTTACCATTACAGGTGCAGCAGCTGCAGCGGCGAGTGGGCGAGGAGGAGAGGGCGAGGCGGGAGGCGGAGGGGGCGATGGCGGAGAGGCAGGCGCGGTGGGACGAGGAGAGCGCGCGCATGCAGGGCGAGGCGGCGCAGCAGAGAGACACGATCGAGCAGCTCAACGACCAGGGTATGGCGCCCGCACACCGCCCCTACACCGCCCGTACACCGCCCCTACACCGCCTGGTACACCGCCCCTACACCGCCCGGTACACCGCCCGTACACCGCCCGTACACCGCCCGTACACCACCCGTACACCGCCTGTACACCGCCCGTACACCGCCCGTACACCACCTGTACACCGCCCCTACACCGCCCCTACACCGCCCGGTACACCGCCCCTACACCACCCCTACATCGCCCGGTACACCACCCGTACACCGCCCATACACCGCCCGTACACCGCCCGTACACTGCCCGGTACACCGCCCGTACACCGCCCGGTACACTGCCCCTGTACCGCCCGTACACCGCCCCTACACCGCCCCTACACCGCCCCTACACCGCCCGTACACCGCCCGTACACCGCCCGTACACCGCCCGTACACCGCCCGTACACCGCCCGTACACCGCCCGTACACCGCCCGGTACACCGCCCGTACACCGCCCGGTACACTGCCCCTGCACCGCCCGTACACCGCCCGTACACCGCCCGGTACACTGCCCCTGCACCACCCGTACACCGCCCGTACACCGCCCGTACACCGCCCGGTACACCGCCCGTACACCGCCCGGTACACTGCCCCTGCACCGCCCGTACACCGCCCGTACACCGCCCCTACACCGCCCGTACACCGCCCGTACACTGCCTGCACACCGCCCGGTACACTGCCCCTGCACCGCCCGTACACCGCCCGTACACCGCCCGTTCCCCCCCCCGTACACCGCCCGTACACCGCCCGGTACACTGCCCCTGCACCGCCCGTACACCGCCCGTACACCGCCCGGTACACTGCCCCTGCACCACCCGTACACCGCCCGTACACCGCCCGTACACCGCCCGTACACCGCCCGGTACACTGCCCCTGCACCGCCCGTACACCGCCCGTACACCGCCCCTACACCGCCCGTACACCGCCCGTACACTGCCTGCACACCGCCCGGTACACTGCCCCTGCACCGCCCGTACACCTCCCGTACACCGCCCGGTACACTGCCCCTGCACCGCCCGTACACCGCCCGTACACCGCCCCTACACCGCCCGTACACCGCCCGTACACTGCCTGCACACCGCCCGGTACACTGCCCCTGCACCGCCCGTACACCGCCCGTACACCGCCCGGTACACTGCCCCTGCACCACCCGTACACCGCCCGTACACCGCCCGTACACCGCCCGGTACACCGCCCGTACACCGCCCGGTACACTGCCCCTGCACCGCCCGTACACCGCCCGTACACCGCCCCTACACCGCCCGTACACCGCCCGTACACTGCCTGCACACCGCCCGGTACACTGCCCCTGCACCGCCCGTACACCGCCCGTACACCGCCCGGTACACCGCCCGTACACCGCCCGGTACACTGCCCCTGCACCGCCCGTACACCGCCCGTACACCGCCCGGTACACTGCCCCTGCACCACCCGTACACCGCCCGTACACCGCCCGTACACCGCCCGTACACCGCCCGGTACACTGCCCCTGCACCGCCCGTACACCGCCCGTACACCGCCCCTACACCGCCCGTACACCGCCCGTACACTGCCTGCACACCGCCCGGTACACTGCCCCTGCACCGCCCGTACACCTCCCGTACACCGCCCGGTACACTGCCCCTGCACCGCCCGTACACCGCCCGTACACCGCCCCTACACCGCCCGTACACCGCCCGTACACTGCCTGCACACCGCCCGGTACACTGCCCCTGCACCGCCCGTACACCTCCCGTACACCGCCCGGTACACTGCCCCTGCACCGCCCGTACACCGCCCGTACACCGCCCCTACACCGCCCGTACACCGCCCGTACACTGCCTGCACACCGCCCGGTACACTGCCCCTGCACCGCCCGTACACCGCCCGTACACCGCCCGTACACCGCCCGTACACCGCCCGGTACACTGCCCCTGCACCGCCCGTACACCGCCCGTACACCGCCCGGTACACTGCCCCTGCACCACCCGTACACCGCCCGTACACCGCCCGTACACCGCCCGTACACCGCCCGGTACACTGCCCCTGCACCGCCCGTACACCGCCCGTACACCGCCCCTACACCGCCCGTACACCGCCCGTACACTGCCTGCACACCGCCCGGTACACTGCCCCTGCACCGCCCGTACACCTCCCGTACACCGCCCGGTACACTGCCCCTGCACCGCCCGTACACCGCCCGTACACCGCCCCTACACCGCCCGTACACCGCCCGTACACTGCCTGCACACCGCCCGGTACACTGCCCCTGCACCGCCCGTACACCGCCCGTACACCGCCCGGTACACCGCCCGTACACCGCCCGGTACACTGCCCCTGCACCGCCCGTACACCGCCCGTACACCGCCCGGTACACTGCCCCTGCACCACCCGTACACCGCCCGTACACCGCCCGTACACCGCCCGTACACCGCCCGGTACACTGCCCCTGCACCGCCCGTACACCGCCCGTACACCGCCCCTACACCGCCCGTACACCGCCCGTACACTGCCTGCACACCGCCCGGTACACTGCCCCTGCACCGCCCGTACACCTCCCGTACACCGCCCGGTACACTGCCCCTGCACCGCCCGTACACCGCCCGTACACCGCCCCTACACCGCCCGTACACCGCCCGTACACTGCCTGCACACCGCCCGGTACACTGCCCCTGCACCGCCCGTACACCTCCCGTACACCCCCCGGTACACCGCCCGTACACCGCCCGTCCCCAGTGTCTGCCCACTTTGCCCTCCTCGGACTCTCTATCCTTCCCTTCCCTCGTCCACCTCTCCCGCTGCTTCCAGCCTTGCCTTTATTATTCCCCTTCCGCCTCCCCCTCCCCCCATCCCATCATCCCCCTTCCGCAGTGCTCTCGCTCGGCGCGGATCTCGAGCGCGCCGTGGCGCTGCTGGAGGCCGCCAGGCCCGCGCTGAAGGGGGCGCGCGGAGGGGCGCAGGGGGGAGCGGAGTGGGCGGAATTGCAGGGGTGTGAGGAGGCGGCTGGCGTGCAGGGCACGGGAGGCAGTGGGGAGAGTGAGGCGAGGGGAGAGGACGGCAGGGGACAAGCAGGTGCGGCAGTCCAGGGCGGAAGGGGCGGAGGGGCAGGGGAGGCAAGGCGGGCGGATGGGGATGGCGGGAGGGGCAGCTTCATGGGCGCAACAATGGCCTCTTCGCCGCGCCCCCCCAGCTCCACTGCACCCCTCGCTGCACCCTCGCGCGCGCCCCCCACTCGCACCCCTCCTGCTCCAGGCCCACCCGCCCTGGCCACTGACCGCGGCGCCACTCATGGCGCTCAGCGAGAGGGGCAGGACCACAGCCAGGGGCACAGCGGCAGCAGCGGCAGCAGTGGCGCCCAATCCCCCTCCACCAGCAGCGGCTCTGCTGTGGCTCGCGCTCCCTCTGCGTGCTCCCCCTCCCCCTCTGACTCCGAATCTGACAGCGCCACACGCGCATCCTCCGGCCGCCGCAGACCACCGTCCGCCACCATGCCCCCGCCGCAACCCCACCCCCACCCCCAGCCCAATGAGCTCTACCGGCCGTCCAGCAGCGGTGGTAGCAGGTTCTGGCACATGCCCCGACTGGCGGGGGGTAGGGCAGGGGCGGAGACTCAGAAGGAGAGGGCAGGCGGCGGGGTAGACGGCGAGAGGAAGGACAGCGGGCGCGCCCACAAGGCCGCTCCACCAGTGGACCCCGCCCCGCTGCTGCGCCGAGCCTTCTCCCCCATGCGCGGCCGCCGCAGTCTCTCGTCGTCCAGAGCGGAGGCGGGCGCAAGCCGAGAAGCGGGTGACGCGGGGGGCGCCAGGAGCGTGCTGCAGCACGTGATGGGGCGCGCGGGGGGAGCTTGGGGGGTGGGGGTGGCGCGAGGGGGAGAGAGCGCTGAAGAGGGGCGGCAGGGGGTGAGGCATCCGGGAAGGGCGAGAGATGGGGGCGAGGGGCGGCGGGGAGAGGAAGGGCCAGGAGGTGCGGAGGCGAGAGCCGAGGGGATGAGGGGGCGTGAAGAGACCAGCGTGCAGCGCGGGCAGGGTGGGGCAGGGATGGGCGGAGATGGGGAGGCAGCAGTGCAGTGTGTGGCGCGGAGTGGGGAAGGGCATGGGGGGGCGGCGGCATGGGTGCCAGAGCAGCAGCGCGTGACGGTGCTGGAAGAGGTACAGGGGGGACGAGGGTGGGCGAGAGGGGAGGAGGCGGTGGAGGTGAGTGGAGTGAGTGGGGCGAGTGGGGAGAGTGGGGCGAGTGGGGAGAGTGGCATGAGCGGCATGAGTGGGGTGGACGAGGAGTGGGAAGAGCAGTGCACGGAGCAGGGGTGGGTGCTGCGGCCCGTGGCACGCGCAGGGGCGGGCTCTGGGGCTCACGAGCAAGAGGAGGGGTGTGAGGTGGAGGATGGGGTGGAGGATGAGGTGGACTCGCAGCAGGTGCGGCAGGGACAGGGGCGGGTAGGGGTGGGTGAGAGCAGGGGCGAGATGGTGGGCAGCATGGCAGTAGCAGCAGCAGCAGCAGCAGGCAGTGACAGGCATACGTTGCCAGGCACTGGAGGGCACGTGGAAGCAGAGGAGGCGGAGGAGGCAGAGGAGGCAGCGGAGGCAGCGGAGGCGGAAGAGCCGCCGTCAGCGCTGAAGCAGCGAGTGGCGGCCCTCAGGACGCGCGTGTCCGCCCTGCGAGCCACCTCCTCCACCCTGCTCGCGCCACCCGTTGCCACTGGCGCTAGCGCTGGGAGAGAGATGGCTGAAATGGGTGCTGGGTTGGTGCCGGGCGCAGAGCAGAGAGGGAGCGGTGTGCGCAGGAGGGAAGGCCAAGGTGCAGAGCCCAGGCGGGGCGGGCTTGCAGGCATAAGGGAAGGGAGCAGCGAGAGGGGTGGCAGCAGCATGTGGAGCAGCGGCACCGCCAGAGATGCAGTGGCCATTCCGCGTGGCTTGAGAGACGCTGCCACTGCTGCTGCCAAGGGATTCGTGGGCGTGGCTCACAGGCAGACCAGCAATGGCAGCAGGGCGAATGAGCAGCAGGTACGGTGGCTGGCGGGTGGCGCTCAGGGTAGGGGGGGCAGTGAGGGGGGGAGGGGCTTGGTGGACGGGACGGCAGGTGGGGGAAGGCAGTCAGCAGTGCTGCAAGAGAGGAGTGGCAATGTGCCTAACGAACCCATCAGAGAGCACAGGAAGGCATTGGCAGCAGCAGCCCCAGCAGCAGCGGCAGGCGGACCAGTGCTGGTGGCGGTGGATCCAGGGGTGCGGCATGTGCAGTCGCTGCTGCCCGTGCGCGTGCTCGTGAGGGAGAGGGCCGTGCAGCAGGGGGGGGACGCGGCAGAGGGGCAGCAGAGCAGCCGACTGGAGGGCGATGTGCACCGCTTGCCCCACCGCACGCTCTCCTCCGCCTCTGCCTCCTCTGACGCTGCCCATGCACCCTTCACCTCCCAGCACTCGCTGCACTCACTCCTCTCGCCCCGCCACCCTGCTGGCAGCAGCAGCCCTTTCAGCGCGACAGGGGGGTCCAGCCCTGCCCTGGGCATCCTCACCCGCTTCCTCTCTCCCTCGCGCCGCTCCCCGTCCCACCCCAGCCACCAGCAGCAGCAGCAGCAACAGCAACAGGTAGGCCCACAGCAGCAGTACGGAGGCAAGCACTCAGGCGCTGAAGGGCCACAAGCAGCAGCAGCTGCAGCCGGCATGCGGCGCAGCATGCGTGGCGCACAGGGCAGCAGTGGCCGGGCGTCTTCCCCCTCACGGCGGCTGTGGGCCGTGGGGCGGTCAACGGAGAGGCGCACAGAGCAGCGGGGCAGGGGGGAGGGCGTGGAGTGGGGGAGGCGCGCAGAGGCGGTGCAGGAAGACTCGCTGAGCAGCACAGGAGGTGAGCCACGGGCCACGGGCCACGGGCCACGGGCACCATCTTGATTGGGCTGGCCTGTTCATGTACAAACCGGCTCTAGGGACTGCACTAAGTGCCAGCCATGTGTTGCCTGCCAGTTCAGCCTTATCGCTCCCACCCACTCTTTCTAATCTGCTCCTCCTCCCCCTCTGTGTGCCACTGCCTGCAGGAGTAAGCACATAGCTGCAGTGACCCAGCTGCTGTGCGAGCCCTGAGAGCTTTCTGAGAGTTTTCATCACATGCCCACGGCATGCTGTGCCCTGTCTGTCTGTGGGGTAGGTGGGGAGGGGTACTATTTATTGTGTTTCTTGTACAACGCAATACCGTAGGTAGATAGGAAAAAAGATGGTAGGTACCAGAAATAGCATGTGATATCCTGCTAGCGAATACTGTCCATGGCCCAGACTGCTAGCTTTCATTGCTACTGTACACTACCTAGGTTTGTATCTAAACAAGTGCATCTGACCTGACTGAGATTTCTGTGAAAGTTCAAACCCGTTAGCATATTACGGTCTCCTCATCCACTGTCAATTGAGCATGTGGTATGCTGCTGTATTCCTCAAAGGACATCAAGCCTATGTCTTCACTACAGCCTCGTCCTTATTCACTTGTGAATACTACGCAGGGCAATTTTCCTGCCTAGAGAAAATCAAGATCGGAGTTAGCAACTGGCACAAACAAGGAGAGCACCAGAGCAAGCAGTGCGCCCTCGGGCCTCCTGTGCAGCGAGCAGCAAGTGCGTGGTTGGACCTTGGGCGGCGGGAGGCCTGGCATGCCAACAACAGGGGGCGCCTAGGCGAGGGCCTTGCCCTTGCTCTTGGAGTTGAGCTGCACCTTCTTCCCAGTGGGCGGCTGCAGGAGGGTGGGGGAGGGGAGGGACGGGGAGAGCATAGGAAGTTGAGGCGATAGGCGCAGGAGTGGGCAGTGGGTGAGGCTGCAGCAGAGCACTCCGAAGCTGACACCCTGGCTCAGAGTGGATGATGAGTGGTGTGAGTGCGTGTGTGTGTGTGGATGTGAGTGCATGCGCATATGCATGTGAGTGTGCGTGCGCATATGCATGTGAGTGTGCATGTGCATGTGAGTGTGACTGTGCATGTGCATGTGCATGTGAGTGTGTCTGTGCGCGTGCATGCAAGGGGACAAGGGGGTTGAGCCCGGTGCACTGACCACGGCGAGCTCGTCCTCGTGTTTGGCGATGAAGCTGGTGTCCACCTTGCCCGCCTTAAACTCCGGCACCTCCAGAATCAGCTTGTGGAAGTCAATGGTCGTCGGCACGCCTACGCGCAGAGGGGGGGGGAGAAGGGAGGACGGAATGGGGAGAGACAAGGAAAACAGCAAGGCGGGGAAGAAAGGGGGGATCCACAGCTGTGATCGTGTGGTGGAGGGACATCGCACCATCCATCATGGCAGCACACGAGAGACAGGGGGGCATGAGGCACGGTCCTACCTGTGATGATGGTGTCGTGCACACCTCCTGTGATGATGGTGTTGTGCGCGCCTACCTGTGATGATGGTGTCGTGCAGCGCTCTCTTCATCCTCTCAATGGCCCGCTCGCGCGTGGGCGCCCACACAATCAGCTGCAGCGCGCAAGGGACAGATGGGGCGGGGGAGGGGAGAGGAGGAAGGCGGTGGATAACGAGGATAAACAGTCAGTGGACCTAGGAGATACGCGGAGAGATGAGGGGCACAATAGAAGCTGGAAAGTGGCCTTCCAGCAGCGGGTCAACTAAGTCAAAGCAGATCAACCTTAGAGCCCCACCTTGCCGAGCAGCGAGTCATAGGAGGGCGGCACGAGGTAGTCGTTGTAGATGTGCGAGTCCATGCGCACAAAGGGCCCGCCAGGTGGCAGGTAGGCGGTGATGCGGCCGGGGCCGGGGCGGAAGTTCTGGAAGGGGTCCTCGGCGTTGATGCGGCACTCGATGGCGTGCCCGCGCACCGTGATGTCCTCCTGCTTGTACCGCAGCTTCTCGCCCATCGCCACGCGGATCTGCTCCTCTATCAGATCGACGGACGTGATCATCTCCGTCACCGGGTGCTCCACCTGCCCGGGCACAAGGGGTGGGAGGGGGGGGGGGGGCAAGGCATGGCAGCACGGTGCACAGGTGTCTCAGAACGGCACCCAGCATCACGTGTGATGACGTGGAGGGTGAATACACGCAGTCTCAGTCATTCCGTGTGAGCATGCAACCCATCCTTGGTTTTCGGGGACTCACGGGGTGGGATTGAATTTCACACGCTAAGAGTGCCGTTTCTTGTGAGCTAAGCTTCCATGGTCCTCTCGCTCGCCTGCTTTCCCATGTTCATCTCTCGCCTGGATGTGTGCGTCCCCCCCCCCCCCCCACAACCTGCGCGCCGCCCTCAGCTCACCTGGATGCGGGTGTTCATCTCCATGAAGTAGAACTCGCCCGTCTCGGCCAGCAGGAACTCCACGGTGCCCACGCCCACATACCCGATGCTCTTCGCCGCCGCCACCGCCGCGTCGCCCATCGCCTTGCGGATGGCAGGGGTCAGTGCGGGCGACGGGCCCTCCTCTACCAGCTTCTGGTTGCGCCGCTGCACAGGGGGAAGGGGGGGAGGGGGAGAGGGGGGAGCGGTTGATGGAAATAGGACGAGGGGGGAGGCAAGGGACGTGGAAGGACGTGCGGATGGGCCCATGGATGCGAGATAGATGTGATGTGCACCGGTATGGTGGCTGGCGTGTGCCTGCCATCCGTGCCTACCTGCCACCGTGCCTACCGGCCACCGTGCCTGCACATGACACCGGTACCCAGATGCTCATGCGTCCTACCCCTGGCCTTGCACCACATCCCAAGCCCTTCTGCACTCGCGCCTCTCCATGCTCAAGGCGCGCGTGCGTGCGTGCGTGCGTGGGTGCGTCCCTACCTGGATGGAGCAGTCGCGCTCGAAGAGGTGGATGGCGTTGCCGTACTTGTCCGCCAGCACCTGGTAGAGAGGGGGGGGGGAGGGATGGGGGCAGAGGGGAGGCGGCGCAGCGGGAGGAAGGGGGGCGCGGAGTGGAGGGAGGGTGTGAGTGAGGGCAGGCGGAGAGGTGGATGACGCTGCCTTACTTGTCCGCCAGCACCTGGTGGGGGGGTAAGGGGAGGGACGGGGGCAGGGAGGGTGAGAGTGTGGGGAAGGTATCAGAGACTGGAGGTTACTCAACTTAATTATTATAAAGAAAACGACTGGCAGAGACCACCAAAGCGCCACTGCCATTACCTACAGCGGCAGCTCCCGCACCCTCGCAAGCAGTGTGCCTTCCTGCGTCCACAGAGCAACCAGTCCTCCTCCCCCGCTTCACACGGACTCACCTGGAACTCCACGTGGCGCGGGCGGATGATGGCCTTCTCCAGGTACACGCCGTCGTTGCCGAACGCCGCGCCCGCCTCCGACCGCGCTTGCTGCACACACCGACACGGGCGAGGGGGGGGATGGAAGAGTCAGAAGGGTCAGAAGGGGCACGGCGAGGAGAGCGAGGGGGAGCAGAGACAGAAACGAGGAGGAGGGGAGTGGTGCACGTGGGGGAGAGGGAGACAGGAGGAGAGAGTGAGAGAGAGAGAGAGACGAGAATGGAGACAGGGTGCGAGTGGGCAAGGGAGCGTGCAGCCCGTCTGACCTGGTAGAGCTTGACGAAGTCGGCCCTGTCGAGCACGAGGCGCATGCCCCTGCCTCCGCCGCCCGCCGTGGCCTTGATCATCACCGGGTACCCCATGCCGTCCGCGATCGACTGCGCCTCCTCCACCGTCTGCGCCATGGGGGCGGGGGGAGGAGGGGGAGGGGGAATGGGGGAGTGCATGCGTGCATGGCGGAACGACTAACCCCATGGCCGAGCTAGAAACCCGTGGCTGTGAATGTTGGGGAGCGTAAGCGTGCACGTGAATCAGCCCTTCCCTTCGGCACTCACGTCGATCAGCCCATCGCTGCCGGGCACGGTAGGCACGTTGGCTCGTCGCATGGTTTCGCGCGCCGTCGCCTTGTCGCCCATGAGGCGGATGCTGTTGGGCTGCGACACACAGAAGGCAGTCGCACAGCGCGCAGGGTGAACAGTCGCACGGCAGGGGAGGACAGGAGAGGACAGGAGAGGATATCGCAGAGAGAATGAGAGAGGCGAAAGTGAGCTCGTTGGTCGCTGAATCAGACGTGTCGCCCTTCTCTAAAACCCTTCTCTCAAGGTTCCACAGCAGTCATGTTATCTCGAAGCACGCTACTATGCCTACGCACGGGGTCGTGGGCCACGCTACTTCCGGCAACGTCACCCCACCAGCACCCCACCAGCACCCCATCCCACCTTGGGGCCGATGAAGTTGAGTCCGTGGTCGGTGCAGATCTCCACGAACGTGGCGTTCTCCGCCAGGAAGCCGTAGCCCGGGTGCACCATCGTGCACCCCGTGCTCACCGCCGCCGCCACCAGGTTCGGGATGTTCAGGTACCTGCGGTCACGCACGCACGGGCATAGCCACAGGCAACCACGCCAAGCACGCAGGAACGAGCCGGAAGGGGGAGCGGAAGGGACGGAAGGTTTGGTGATAAGGAGGTATGCAGATATGGCGGCACAGAGACCGGAGGAGGCAAGCGACGGGGCGACAGCGACGATTGGAGAACAACGATGCATGCTGGGCTCACAGTTGGACTTTACGGCCATGTGACTCACGACTGCGCGGAGGGCGCCTCGCCGATGCAGACGGCCTCGTCGGCGAGTTCGACGTGCAGCGAGTTGCGGTCGATTGTGGAGTACACCGCCACGCACGGGATGCCCAGCTCGTGCGCCGACCGGATCACGCGCACCGCGATCTCGCCGCGATTCGCTACCAGGATCTTCTCTTGACACGTGGCGCCCAGCGCGCCCCCGCGGGGCTTTGCGCCGGCGGCCTTGGCGGGAGCGGAGAGGGCGTGCGCAGCGGCGTGGCGGAGTGAGGTGCCGGCGAGCGAGGAGGCGCGGCTGGCGATGGGCGCGGAGGCGGTGAAGGGGTCGCGCGGGGCGCACGACGGCGCTGACGACGCCGAGACCGTCGCACGCTTGGAAAGCGTGGAGACGCCAGATGCGGCCTGGATGATGGGAAAGATGGGTGATGGGGAGGATGGGTGATGGGGGAGATGGATGATGATGGAATATTTAATGGATAAAGAGATACGCTTGTACTAATGAATAATGAAAAATAGTTGGTAATGAGAAATGAAGTATGCTCCTACATGAATGATGGCTTATGCTCGTCACAATGAATGACAGAGTATGCTTGTGCTAACGGATGACAGAACATGCAGGTGCTAATGGACGACGAAACAACTGCTGCCCGACTGGCTCTGATCATAGAGTTACGCTAAGATCCACTTCCGTGACAACTATGCCTACTAAAGCCTGAGGAACGGAAGGTTCAAGTGGATGCTTCATCGGCAAACAGCAACAGGTGCGTGTAACAGATTGCAGTCGGAGCATGGGCGTCAAAGTGTCGATTCTCTAACAAATCGAAACAAGGAAATCGCACCACGTTTAGAAGTCTGGCGCTGGACATGGTAGCAGCCTCCATTCTGGGAAGCTGAGATGCGCTGGAGATAATCGGGAAGTGATCAAGGACCAAGCTGACCAGGCTGCTGGGAGGAGGAAGAAGCTGCAGCAAGGAAATAAATCCGAATTGCAGTAATTCCGCTGCCTAGCGTGACTGAAGGGCTCTAGCAACAGAAAGGCAGTCTAGCGTGGCTCCCGAGAAGAAGCGATCAGATTCCGAGGCGACCAGATCCCTAGAGTGACTGTGATGGGATGTGACACAATCGGTGAGATCGCATGTCTGTCAGCCGATCGCAATCACTGATCCCTCTGAATGGACGGTTTTTATGGCCTAGCGAACTTTGGAGTTTCCAGACGAAATTCTAGGGGATAGGCGATGGTGACAGGAAGTGACTTGGGCCTGACGTGTTACAGATGACAGGAAACCTCCACGGCACACGTGGCGAGATTATGCGGCACTGCTAACAGCTTCGAGCTTGGAAAGAGTGGCTGACGTGGGTGCGATCCAATGGAAATCGGCATTTGGTTTCAGTCTGAGGCGGAAAGAAGATCTCTCACTTCATTTTCCTGGTGCAATCCTTACGTCCTACTATCAAAACGCATATATCATACACTACCTGTACACCCCACAACTTGTGGTTTCTAGAACCAGCAAGCTTCTTGTGATAGCATGGGAAACGAGGCAAGCATCTTCAGAAAATCCGTCATTGTTACTAGCACAAAAACTTCATTTATACACCTTATTCAGCCTACAGATAGACGCCCTTGTGGTTAGAGCAGGGAACCAGAGCCAGGCCCTCCTGGTCCTGGCCTGTAACCAGGCATGCCCATGGCACCGGGCATCGATCCTCCCATGGGCATTCCTCCCTGCGGGGCTCCTGGCATCCCCCCCATGTGCATGGGCATCTGCCCCCCCATGCCCATGCCTGGCGGCCCCATGGCACCCGGCATGCCCATGCCGCCACCCATCTGCATGGGAGGCGCCATGCCTGGCCCTCCCATGCCCATGGGCCCGCCCATGCCCATCCCTGGGGGCTGCATGGGCATGCCCCCATATGGCATGGGCGCCATGCCAGCAGCAGGGGGGGGGGCAGCGCCTGGCAGCATCATATGAGGGGCATGCTGGGGAGCAGCAGGCGCAGGGGCAGTGGGGCCAGGAGGGGAAGATACAGCAGGGGCGCCAGACCAGGGCAGGGCGAGCATTGCTGCTCCCCCCTGCTGCTGCTGGGTGGCAACTGGGGGCGGCTGCAGCCAGGCAGGCGGCAGCTCGCTGATGTTGTCTGAGATGAAGTCCTTGAGGCTGGGGCAGGGCGGAGAGGGGGGGGGGGGGAGGGGAGAATGGGGGCAGGCAAGGAGGCTCAAGTCGAGCTTCAAGTGGTGCCCTAGGAAGCAAGGGCATGAGGAGGCAGGAAGGAAGAGCAATAACGTGGGAAGAACGACATATGCAGCGGAGGCAGCAGTGAGGCACACAGTGCGCTTCTCATCCTTGCCAATTGCCCCATGTCCCGTCCCTCACCACCCCCTTCCCCATCCCCATCCCATCCCATTCCTCCCACCCCCCGAGGCAGTGTGACGCACGCAGCGGAGGCAGTGGGGTCAGAGGAGGCGCAGGTGAGGCGCAGCTGAGAGCGGTCTGTGGGGTCCGTCTCCAGACGCGCCTGGGGGGGGGGGAGGAGGAAGGGAAGGGGAGGGGGGATGGTGATGAAGAGTGGTGAGGGGTGGTGAGGGGTGATGAACGGTGGTGGGGGCGGGGGACCAAGTGAGGATAGGTTATTTGAGAAGAACAGATGGCAAGAGGAGTGGAAAGGCGAGCAGAGGAGCATGAATGGCAAGGAGGGCAAGCTGAGAAGCAGGGAAGCGGGAGGGGGAGCGCAGTGACGCGCAGCCTACGAGCAGGAGCGTGGGTGGGGTGGTCTCTGTGTGTAGCGTGCAGCACGCCACTATGTTGTTAGGGTTGGGGTCCTGGTGCCCGGAGGGAGGGTGGGGGGTGGGGGGGAGGATAGGGGCGTTGAGAGGGGGACGAGGGGGGGTGAGTGAAGGTTGGGGTCAGAGGCATGTGCGAGGGGAAAGCGGGGGGGGGGGGGTGGGGTAGTGGAAGACAAGAAGCGAGGAGGAAAGGCAGGAAATCGGGAGGAGAAGGGGGGATGGAGGGCAGGGGAGATGGTGGTGGCACGTTGGGGGGGGTGGCACGTGGGGGGGGTGGCACATGGGCGTGTGCGTCTGACCAGGTTGGGCAGGGGGTTGACGTGCAGCGACGCCAGCAGCTGCGCCAATGCAGGCAACGGCAGGGGCTTCACTCCCCGCAGCTGGTGGGGGAGACGGGCGGGAGAGATGCGCGGGTGGGGGAGTGAGGGAGCGAGCTGAAGCTGTGTCCATTGGCAAGGGCTGTCACATCATGAGTGCATGGCATGCGGCATCACCACGAGCCATAGCAGTGCATGTAACATGACTACAGCCTACCATCACAGCATGCATCAGCAAACAGCAGACAGCACACAGCAGCACCCCCCAGCACACAGCAGCAGCACGTACGACGACTTGCTGCTTGTGCGGCGGGGCGGACAGCGTCTTCCAGCGCGCAAAGAAGTCGGTGGAGGACAGCGACGCCGGCAGCAGCGCCTTGCTCAGCGCCACCGGCAGGTGCAGGCGCAGCGGCACGCGCACGCCCGAGGGGAGCGTGTAGGCCAGGTCCAGACGCGGGGCGTCACGGGGCACCAGCACTGCTGCCGCCTCCACTGGCAGCTGGATCTGAAGGGGGGAGGAGGAGGGATTAGGGGGGGAATAAGGGCATGCGAGGGGGGAGGTTCAAAATACCCGCAGCGGCCTGCGTGTGCCCAACGGCAGCTTGTACGCCAGGTCCAGGCGGGGGGCGCCCCTGGGGACCAGCACTGCTGCTGCCTCCACTGGCAGCTGGATCTGAAGGGGGGAGGAGGGGGGTGGGGGCGGCACGAAGGGCATGCAAGGAGGGAGGATGAGGGTGGAAGAGGAGAAGAGCAACGAGGGAGGGACGGCTGCGTGTGAGAAGAGAGAGGCGGAAGGTAATCACAGAGAGGCGGAAGGTAATCACAGAGAGCGACCGACCTGGGCGCGGGGCGGAATGACTTGCGGCAGCGGGGAGAGGATGACTCTGAGGCCGGCCGTGGGAGGTGTGGAGGCGTGCAGAGCGGTGAGTGGCGCCGTCTCCTTGTTGCCCAGGAACAGCACGAGGCGGCCGTGGGGGGGCTTCCACTCACTCTTCACCCCGATCTGCAGGGGGCGGTGGAAACACCCAGAAAGGAGATGTGGGAGACAGAGAGGAAAGCTCGCCTCTTCTCTTTGAGAGGAGATGCGAGGGAGGTTGGGGATAAAGGAAGATAGGGAGCACAGTGTGAGAAACATGGCTACAGCATGCAGGGTCGACAAGGCAGGGGTGAGCTTACAGGCAAGGGTAAGTGCAGGTGTGGGTCGTGCCTGCATACCTGCAGGTGTGGGTCCTCGTAGAGCACCCCACTGTCCTTGCCCATCAGCGCGCGGAACCACTCCGCCACACTGCCCAGGGGCTGGCATGCGGAAAGGGGGGGGGTCAGAGCAGAGGGATATGGAACGACAGAGATGGTATGAGGCCAATGCGGTGTGGGCATGGGCAGAGGGCCGTGGGAGTGAGGCGCCTCAGCACGTGCATTCTCACACGGACTGCACCACCCTGGACTGCAGTGCACCATCAGCAACCTCGCCCCTCTCCCGCTTGCCTCTTCATCCTTCTTTTCCCTCTACCCCTCCTTGCCCTCGTTGCTCCTACAACCATCGTCCTGTCAGTCAGTCCTCACACTATCCGTTCATCCCACCCCCCCATCCCGCCATACCTGCACCACGGCAGCGGGAGCAGCAGTCTGGTCGAATAGGGTGAGCGCCATGGCGCCTGCCTCTGCCCCACCAGGGGATCCCAAACCCTGCCCCACAGCGCCTGCAGCGGCAGCGGGGGCACCAGGAGCAGCAGTAGGGGCGGAGGCAGAGGCCGAAGGGTCAAGGGACAAGAGCTCCCCCAGCAGATCGCCCACGGCGCTGGCAGCAGCGGTGTCGCCTGCCGGCACGAGGGCGAGCTCATTGCCCGCTGAGGGGGGTGGGGCGGCCGCAGGCTCGTCCACAAGGGAGGCGGGCGGCTGGGATGGTGGGGGCTGGGCGGTGGAGGGTGGGGATGAGGGGGTCACCTGATGGGGGGGAGAGGGGGGGGAGGGGGGATGAGGGAGGGGGAGAGGGAGAGTGGAGATAAGGGGGATGCGAGAGATGGTGGGTGCAAAGTGGGTGCGTGGGAGATGGATTGTGAGAGCCAGAGCAGCTGGTCGAGGATAGGAATCGCAGGCATGCATTAGTCAGTAGATACCGCACATCTACTCACATCAGCAGATACCGCACATCTACTCACATCAGCAGATACCGCACATCTACTCACATCAGCAGATACCGCACATCTACTCACATCAGCAGATACCGCACATCTACTCACATCAGCAGATACCGCACATCTACTCACATCAGCAGATACCGCACATCTACTCACATCAGCAGATACCGCACATCTACTCACATCAGCAGATACCGCACATCTACTCACATCAGCAGATACCGCACATCTACTCACATCAGCAGATACTGCACATCTACTCACATCAGCAGATACCGCACATCTACTCACATCAGCAGATACCGCACATCTACTCACATCAGCAGATACCGCACATCTACTCACATCAGCAGATACCGCACATCTACTCACATCAGCAGATACCGCACATCTACTCACATCAGCAGATACCGCACATCTACTCACATCAGCAGATACCGCACATCTACTCACATCAGCAGATACCGCACATCTACTCACATCAGCAGATACCGCACATCTACTCACATCAGCAGATACCGCACATCTACTCACATCAGCAGAAGCCGCAGGCTGAGGTCGCCGCACGGGCCCCACCCCTCCAGCAGAGTCAGCGGCAGCAGGAGCAAGGGGTGCGGAGGGGTGCTTGGCGGCGGTGACGGGCACGAGGGCGAGGGCGTTGCCCTGCTGCGCCCGCAGCTTCACCGCACTGACCTCCGCACTGTCACCCTCGTTGTCGGGCGCCTTGCGCAGCAGCGAGGACTGGCAGGGAGGGCGTAAGGGGGGGGAGGGTGAGGTAAGGGACTGGTGTGTGGCGAGGGGAGCAGTGAGCTCATCATCGCATCGTACCATCTACAGTGCTCAACCTTCCTCTCACTCATGGCAGGGTGAGGAGGGGGAGGGGATGGCGCATGGTTTCGGCGAAAGGTTTCGGCGAATGGCTTCGGCGAATGGTTTCGGCAAAATGTTTCGGCGAAAGGTTTCGGCAAATGGTTTGCGTGAAATGTTTCCTCGAAAGGTTTCGGCGAATGGTTTCGGCAAATGGATTCGGCAAATGGTTTTGGCAAATGGTTTTGGCGAAAGGTTTCGGCGAATGGCTTCAGTGAATGGTTTTCGCAAAATGTTTCGGTGAATGTTTTCAGCGAAAGGTTTCGGCGAATGGTTTCGGCAAATGGTTTCCGCGAAATTCCTCGAAAGGTTTCGGCGAATGGTTTCGGCAAACGGATTCGGCGAAAGGTTTCGGCAAATAGTTAGTGATTTCGGCTTAAGGTTTCAGCAAAAGGTTTCGGCAAACGGTTTTGGAGAAAGGTTCCGGCAAATGGTTTCGGCGAGTGGTTTCGGCGAAAGGTTTCGGCAAATGGTTTCGGCGAATGATTTCGGCGAAAGGTTTCGGAAAATGGTTTCGGCAAAAGGTTTCGGCGAACGGTTTCGGAGAAAGGTTTCGGCGAATGGTTTCGGCAAAAGGTTTCGGCGAACGGCTTCGGAAAAAGTTTTTGGCAAATGGTTTCGGCGAAAGGTTTCGGCGAATGGCTTCGGCTAATGGCTTCGGCGAATGGTTTCGGCAAAATGTTTCGGCGAATGGTTTTGGCGAATGGTTTCGGCAAACGTTTCGGCGAATGGTTTCGACGAAAGGTTTCGGCAAATGGCTTCGGCGAATGGCTTCAGCGAAAGGTTCCGGCGAATGGTTTCGGCGAGTGGTTTTGGCGAATGGTTTCGGCGAATGGTTTTGGCGAATGTTTTTGGCGAAAGGTTTTGGCGAATGGCTTCGGCGAATGGTTTTCGCAAAATGTTTCGGCGAATGGTTTCGGCGAAGGTTTCGGTGAATGGTTTCAGCGAAAGGTTTCGGCGAATGGTTTCCGCGAAATGTTTCCTCGAAAGGTTTCGGCGAATGGATTCGGGGAAAGGTTTCGGCAAATAGTTAATGATTTTGGCTTAAGGTTTCGGCGAAAGGTTTCGGAGAATGGTTTCGGCAAAAGGTTTCGGCGAACGGTTTCGGAGAAAGGTTTCGGCGAATGGTTTTGGCGAAAGGTTTCGGCGAATGGCTTCAGCGAATGGTTTTCGCAAAATGTTTCGGCGAAGGTTTCGGTGAATGGTTTCAGCGAAAGGTTTCGGCGAATGGTTTCTGCGAAATGTTTCCTCAAAAGGTTTCGATGAATGGTTTCGGCGAATGGATTTGGCGAAAGGTTTCGGCAAATGGTTTCGGCGAATGATTTCGGCTTAAGGTTTCGGCGAAAGGTTTCGGAGAATGGTTTCGGCATAAGGTTTCGGCGAACGGTTTCGGAGAAAGGTTTCGGCGAATGGTTTTGGCGAGTGGTTTTGGCGAATGGCTTCAGTTTCGACGAATGGTTTCAACGAATGGCTTTGGCGAATGGTTATGGATGATCATGGAAAATCGTGCTTCTCCTCTCGACCTCTCTCCCCCACCCCTCCCCCCCACCTGCCCCCGACCTCTTTTCCGAGGAACTTGGGTAAGTCAACCACGATTTCAGCCACGGAAACCCCTCCCTTGACTAGTACCGGGACTCACAAGTCACCTCTCTCACAGACCTACTCTCCCCACCTCTCTCTCCGGAAACTTGGGCATGTCCGCCACGATGTCAGCCATGGCGGCCCCGCCCCTGCGGCACAGCGAGGCGTACTCCACTGCGCGCTGCTGCACCTCAGCGTCCACACTGCTCTCATAGCTGCCAGGGGGGGGGGGAGGGGGGGAGAGCGGGGAAGAGAGGAGATAATAGAAGCGAAGAGGCAGAAGACAATTCACATCACATGGCGAATAGTATCCCATCACCTACCCGCTCACTGCATCCAGCATCGTGACCCCTCCCTCCCCCCCCCCACCCACCCCCCCACTGAGTGAAGCTGACTACCCACCCATCCACCCATATCCACGCATGGCCATCCATCCATCCACCCACCGTGTGAAGACGGCCATGAGCTTGGCGTGCAGGGCGTCATCTGGGGGTGAGCGCACGGCCAGCTTCACATACGCCGACAGCATGAGCGCGCGCGTGGGGATGCTGCACAAGAGGACATGAGCGGGGGAGAGAAGAGGGCGGAAGGAGAGAGGGGGGGATGAGTTAATGCAAGCCAAGAAATGGCCTTTCGTCCTGAGCATGATGGCATGCAAAAGAGAGATGGCACCGGGGTGGGCAACGCGTGAGGTAGGAGAGCAAGGAGAGAGAGAGCGAGAGGGGAGGGGAGGGGGAGGGGGCACAAGAGGGGAGGGAGACGTACGAGACGGTGTGGAACTTGTCGTGCAGCACAGCGAAGACGTCGGCTGGTGTGGAGCCCGGCTGCGCTGGCAGAAGATGGCTGAATTCGCCCAAGATGTAGCTGCCCACCTGCTCTTGGAAGGCACGCACACCCACACACACACAGGTGGGAACGGCACGCATGCACAAAGACATGGGCGCGTGCACACATGCACACACGGACACGGGGAGTGGGACACATGATGCTACATGAATGGCAGCAGACGGCCTCAGCACGATGGACTGCCCACATGCCTCTCACCCTACCATACACCCTACCATACACCCTACCTCCCAAACCCCAAGCCCTCAAGTCTCGCACCTCGACCATCGTCTCAGGCCTCATCGATCCTGACTGTCTCACCTTGACCATGGTCTCGTGCACGGCCGGCTTCCTAATCAGCTTGAGCACACTCGAGGCGGCGTAGGGCTGCAAGTCGTCGTTGTTGGTGACGATCTGCACCACTCTGTACCACACGTCCTCACTCACAAAGTCGCCCGCGCGCTCAATGAGGCACAGAATCACATCCACGTACCTGCGGATGTAAGGGAGAAAAAAGGGGGCGATGGGAGGGGGAGGGAGGTTGACGGAGAAGGACGCTCAAGGGGAGTCGACAAGAAAAGTGGGGCGGAGCAGAGGTTGAATGGAGAGCGCGGAAAGTGCAGTGTGTGCCATGCGCGAGCCCCTCTTCTCACCATGGCAGCTCCACGGCGAACTTCTCTGCAAGAATGGCGGTCTTGAGGGTGAGCTCCTCGCGAATCACAAAGTCAGCTATCGTCAGGTACTGAGGGAGAGGGGGGGGGGGGGGAGGGGGGGGAGGGGGAGAGAGAGGAGAAGGGAAGGATGGTAGGGCAGGAATGGCTATAGGTGGACATTGGAGGTGGCGATGCATCGAGATGCACATGGAGCAACGGGCGGTGACGGGCGGTGGCTAGCGGTGGCGGGTGGTGGCGGCGGTGGCGGGCGGTGGCAACTGGTGACGGGAGGCGGCGGGCGGTGAAGAGCAGTGGCGGGCGGTGATGGCGAGCGGTGGCGGGCGGTGGGGGGTGGTGGCGGGCGGTGACGGGCGGTGGTGGGCGGAGGGGGGTGGTGGCGGGCGGTGACAGGCGGTAACGGGTGGTGGCGGACGGTGACGAGCGGTGGAGGGTGATGGCGGGCGGTAGCGGGCGTTGACGGGCGGTGGTGGGGGTGGCGGACGGTGGCGGGCAGTGACAGGCAGCGGCAGGCGGTGACGGGCGGTGGCGGACGGTGGCGGGCGGTGACTGGCTGTGACGGGTGGAAGCGGGCGGTGACGGGCGGTGGCGGGCGATGGCAGGCGGTGGCGGGCGGTGACGGGCGGTGGCGGGCGGTCACAGGCGGTGACGGGCAGTGGCGGGTGGTGGCGGGTGGCGGCAGGCAGTGGCGAGCGGTGGCAGACGGTGGCAGGCGGTGACTGGCTGTGACGGGCGGTGGCGGGCGGTGGCAGGCGGTGGCGGGCGGTGATGGGTGGTGACGGACGGTGGCGGGCGGTCACAGGCGGTGACTGGCGGTGGCGGGTGGTGGCGAGCGGTGGCAGACGGTGGCGGGCGGTGACTGGCTGTGACGGGCGGTGGCGGGCGGTGACGGGCGGTAGCGGGCGGTGGCGGGTGGTGGCGGGTGGTGACGGGCGGTGACGGGCGGGGCTGGGCGGTGGCAACCAGTGGCGGACGGTGGCAACCGGTGGCGGACCGTGGCGGGCGGTGGCGGACCGTGGCGGACGGTGACTGGCTGTGACGGGTGTGACGGGCGGAGGCGGGTGGTGACGGGTGGTGACGGGTAGTGACGGGCGGTGACGGGCGGGGCCGGGCGGTGGCAACCGGTGGCGGGTGGTAACAGGCAGTGACGGGCGGTGGCGGACGGTGGCGGGCGGTGGCGGGTGGTGGCGGGCGGTGACTGGCTGTGACGGGTGGTGACGGGCGGTGACGGGCAGGGCTGGGTGGTGGCAACCAGTGGCGGACGGTGGCAACCGGTGGCGGACCGTGGCGGGCGGTGGCGGGTGGTGGCGGGCGGTGACTGGCTGTGACGGGTGTGACGGGCGGAGGCGGGTGGTGACGGGTGGTGACGGGCGGTGGCGTGCGGTGACGGGCGGTGACGGGCGGGGCCGGGCGGTGGCAACCGGTGGCGGGCGGTGACAGGCAGTGACGGGCGGTGGCGGGCGGTGACGGGCTGTGATGGGTGGTGGCGGGCGGTGATGGCGAATGGTGGCGGGCGGTGACAGACGCTGACGGGCGGTGGTGGGCGGAGGGGGGTGGTGGCGGGCGGCGACGGGCGGTAACGGGCGGTGGCGGGTGGTGGCGGGCGGCGTCGGGCGGGCGGTGGCGGGTGGTGACGGGCGGTGCGGTGATGGGCGGTTGCGGACGGTGGCGGGCGGTTGCGTGCCGTGGCGGGCGGCGGCAGGCGGTGGCGGGGAGCGGCGGGTGGTGATGGGCGGTGGACTGTGACGGGCGGTGATAGGTGGGGTCGGGCAGCGGGCGGTGGCAGGCGGTGATGGGCGGTGACAGGTGGCGACCGGTGGTGGGTGGTGACGGGTGGTGGGCAGTGACGGGCGGTGACCAGCGGTGGCCGGTGACAAGCGTTGACGGGCGGTGATGGTCGATGATTGGTGGTGAGCAGTGACGGCCGGTGGGTGCTGTCGGGTAGTGACAGACAGTGGACAATTATGGGCGGTGGGCAGTGATGGGCGGCGACGGGTAGTGACGGGCGGTGGGTGGTTGGCAGTGGGCGGTTAGCACAGACAGAGGCAAGCAAGGCAGGGAAGAGGGACAGCAGGGACTGACCTCGAGCAGCTGCTCCACGATGAACTTGGCATTGTCGATGTCGCACAGCCCGTACAACAGGTCGAGGGCGCGGCGCCGAATGCTGCACGGGGAGAGAGAGAGGGAATGGAAGGAAGCGGATGGCAAGGTGTGCTTCCGGTATCACGTGCGTGACAAAATCATTGACCAAACAGCAGCGGGGGTTACCTGATGTCAGGGTCCTTCAGCGAGTGCACGATCTGGCTCTGGAAGCTTCTGATGTCGTCCTGCACATCTGCCACCATCAACATGCGCGCCATGTTCTCCTGCGGTCGTTCACATACCATCGGATGCCACGGTAGCATGCCATCACATACCATCACATGCCATCACATGTCATCACATGCCATGGTAGCATGCCATCACATGCCAATTAGAATGCCCTCACGTATAGGCACATGCAGTCACGTGGTACCACATGGTACCATGCCATGCCAGCAGCCAAACATGAGGAATGAAGCCACCACATGTGACGTGAGTGCCAACGGTCATCGTAGCGCGGCACAATGTGTGTCCGATCACTGAACCATGGAATGGCACCGTTATTGTCAGCCCTGCCCACAGCAGTGGGCACTCGCGAGGGCGGGCATGAGAGGGAGCACTCACAAGCGCGAGGTAGCGGATGTTGGGCTCGCGAACGCCCAGGAACTTCCCCAGCAGCGCCACGCAGTGCTGCATCACCTCGCGCTCCGCGTCCATGTGCATGGCCTGGCGCCACGCGCAGCAGTGTGGGGGGGAGAGAGGGGGGAGAGAGGGGGGAGGACGGGGAAAGGTGAGGGAGGGGCGGAGTGAGAGAGCAAGAAGCAGTGCTGCATCTTGTCTCACTCCGCGTCCATGTGCACAGCCTCGGGGCTGGGGGTAGAGGTGGTGTGTAGGAGGAGGAATGGCGAGGGAATGGGGAGTAAGGGAGCACAGCGTAAGTTATGGACGACGGCAGGCGGATGACACAGAGGCAGTGGCAGCAGCGAGACGAGGGGAGGCCATGCAATGAGCCGGAGCATGGGGCCATTGCAATGAGCCTTTCAAACAGCACTGGTGGTAGGTCCAGCAGACAAGGGGGGTTTGGGGAGTAGCGGGGCGAGGGAGAGGGCAGCACCAGGGCGAGGGCTTCGAAGAGAATGGCGTGCGCGGCGTTGTTCTTGTTGACGTTCTTTACCACCTCCGTGCCCTGCAGTATGCGCGCCAGCACCTGGTGGTGCACGCAGATGGGGGATGGGAGAATGGCGTGGGGGAATGGCGTGGGAGAATGAGGGCATGGTGGAATGGCAATAGGCATGGTGCATGTGAACAGTGTCACGCACAGTAATGGATAGCATAGTGTGACATAGTGTGGCATGGTGTGGCGTGGTGTGGCATGGTGTGGCAGTGCAACCCACCTCAAGCAGCGACTTGCGGATGGAGGGGTCTTCAATGGAGGGGAAGTACTGCAGCACGCGCATCGTCTTCACCTGGTGGGCGGCACGAGAAGGGCAAGGGGTCACGAGGGGAAGAGGGGGGGGACGGGGATTGGGCAAGAGGGAGGCCAACGACAGTGGAGAGGTGAGTGAGGAAGCAGAAGATACAGCCAGAGGGACAGCAGCTAGAGAGACAGCAGCCAGAGGGACAGCAGCTAGAGAGAGCAGGGTGAGGAGATGCTTATCACACATCTGCAACCAGGGCGAGGAGATGCTTATCACACATCTGCAACCACGGCGAGGAGATGCTTATCACACATCTGCAACCACGGCGAGGAGATGCTTATCACACATCTGCAACCACGGCGAGGAGATGCTTATCACACATCTGCAACCAGGGCGAGGAGATGTCATGGCACACATACGTGCAGGGATGGGGGATGGCATATGACAGACCTGCAGGCAGGGCGAGGGGATGGCGCACCTGCAGCCAGGGCGAGGGGATGGCGTAGTAGGTGTAGTCCTGCGGGATGTCGACGCACTTGGAGAGGCGCTCCAGCACCTTGACGCACTTGGGCACGCAGCACAGGTACGCCTCCGGGTTGGCCGCCACCAGCGCCACCAGCAGCGACATGGCGGCCAGCAGAATCCCAATGTTGCGCTCCTCTAGTAAGCTCGCCATGCGCTGAGGCCTGGGGGGGTGGGGGGTGGGGACTGGAATCAGGCACAGCAGCGGCATGGGAAGGGAGATGCTCAAGCTCCTGCCAGCACCACCCCAATGCTGCGCTCCTCTAGTAAGTTTGCCATGCGCTGAGCCCAGAAGGGATGGTGGGGGGGAGCCAATGGCTCAGAAAGGGAAACGCTCAGCGCACCCATTTTCCACTAGACTTGGCACACCTGGTCCTCCTCCTCCTCTTCCTCTCTTCCTACACTGCACGGCTGCTGCAACCTCTCACCACGTCTCCGTGCTGATGATATCGGGGTTCTTCCGGAACAGCCGCAGCAGGCACAGCGCCGCCTTCTTCTTCACCAGCGGTCGCGCTGAGCTCGACAGCTGGTGGCGCTCCCAGCACGTCAGGGGAGGGGAGGGGAGGGGGGCAGACGGGGCAGACAGGGTATGGAGTGCAGTGAGAGGGGATGATTGAGTGGGGACGGCATTGAACGAGAAGGCGGCTGAGAGAAACAGGACACTGAATGTATATGTGCCAGTGAGAGAATGTGCCTGGGTGTGTGTGAAAAAAATACTGCCCTACCGTCTTTGCACCCTCCCCCACCGTCCCATTCCCCCCATCCCATTCCCCCCATCCCATTCCCACCACCCTGCTCTGCCCACCCCTGCCGTACCAGCAGCTTCTGCACATCAGGCGCAACGGACTCTGAGAACTCCTTGCCTCCGATGTTGCCCACCTGATGCAGGGCGGGCGGAAGGACAGGCACGGGGGAAGAGAGAGGAGAGCGAGGAGAGAGAGGAGAGCGAGGAGAGCGAGGAGAGCGAGGAGAGCGAGGAGAGTGAGGAAACAGAGGAGATCGGTGGAGCACACGGGGGAGTGACGGATGGTGCGGCGAAGCAGAGATTGGGGGGTGTCGGGAGGGACCAGGGCGCAGGGAGAAGGATGGAAGGAGAGGGGGAGAGGGGGGCAGACGAGAAAGAGGGGAGGAGGGAAGTACCATGGTGAGGGCGAGCGAGGCATACCATGGTGAGGGCGAGCGAGGCATACCATGGTGAGGGCGAGGGGGGGCTGGTACCAACCATGGTGAGGGCGAGGGGGGGCTGGTACCAACCATGGTGAGGGCGAGGCACTGGAAGGTCTCGTTGCGGCCGATGATGTCATTTCGGACGGAGTTGATGACGAGCCGCAGGAAGTCGTTGCTCTCGTTCAGCAGGCATGACGTCACCATGTACCCCACCTGCCACGTGCCATGCACACATCGGCACAGACACACAGACACACAGACACACGTTGCTGCAGTCTTAGGGAAGGAATGGCCGTCAAGCTCTTAGCCATGGTTCCCATGGCAGGCGACTGAATGAACTTTTGATGCGCCTCAAAAGAGACTGAATTATACTGGGTGAGCAGTAAGCCAAGGAAAGCAGGGAGCTTGCGACAAGTACGTTTGGTACTAGTGACCATCCAGCAGCTTGGCTGTCGGACCTGCTTCTCGGCGTATTTGAGCTGACCTGCTTCTCGGCGTACTTGGGCGCGGAGATGAGGGAGACGGCCTCCATGTGGCCGAAGTCCACGTCGTAGCCGAGCATGAAGATGTAGAGCAGCTTCCACACGTACTTCTTCTTCTCGTACGGCGTCAGCTTCTGCACCGTGGGAAGCACACACAGAGTAATGGCTTTGCTTATAACGGGTCTACATGGCCGTGCGCTGATCGGGCTAACACCACGGACATGGATACAGGCGAGAGCCATATGAATCTGCCGATTGGTTGAGACGAGATTGCACCCAACCGTGGCATCCAAGACCTGCTATCAGTCGACTGGATCACCCGAAAGCTACGCGAATCCAAGAAGGTTTCATCTTGCACGAAATATGCGATGCGACAAGTAAGCAACGAGGTTCTATGTCCACGCTGGCGACGCCGTCTTACCCGCTCGGCCTTGAAATGCGTGCGAATGTTCGCGAGCTCCTTGTCGACTCGCAGTCGCTCCTGCTCCTTGTTCTGGCAGTTGCGAATGTCCGATATGAACACTGACAAGCCGCGCATACTAGAGGTCGCCATGGCGTCGAGTCGGCCAGAACTTCGGATTATATGGGACTGAAGCTAACAGACCTGCTGGTGCACAGAATGATCAACTCATCTAACATTCCCAAGGGCGAGTTTCAGGAGATCTCGCGGCAGGAGCAGCTTGTCAGGAAATCACTAGGAGGTGGGAAGTGCTTCGATGCAAATGATCGCGATAGTGATATAACACTTCTTGTCGTCACCACTACATCTTTATGTACTTCCAAGACATGTTGAGCCGTTTCTTTGTTTATTCCATACCCAACAACAGCAGAATGCATATCCCTTGGCATAATATGGTGGAAAAACTAAACTCAAATGTTGCTACTACGAGAGTTTGTATGCACTTAGACCAAATAGCAAGCTAGCTTTTTGTTCCTTTTCACTAGATTTGCACAAACGTGGATTTTATACATTCATTTTGCATTTTTTATTTCCTTGACGGGCGGTTTCACACGACTTCTCCCGATTCCTGTTCTTTAGTTTCTGACACTAATGCGTTGAGGCTGGAAAGCATACCGTAATCTCCCAGCAAAAGTACCCCACTCAAAGAGGGTCCATGGTGTCAAACATGTGTACTTGTCATGTTTGTATAGACTGTATAGGGTAGTCTCTTAGAGGGTACAACCCTGAGGTATATCCTTGTGTACTCTCTTTCTATCTAACATTCAACTCTCAATTTCGATATGGTATCACGCGTAGGTAGGATCCCTCCCCACCTACCGCTTCCGCTCACCCCTCTAGCCCCTAGTCCAGTCGCGACCCCCCCTAGCCCCGTCGCGCCCCTCGCTGGGCCCTGTCGCGCCCCTCCCAAGCCCCCCCTAGCGCCCCTCCTGGGCCCCGTCGCGCTCCTCCCAGGCCCCGTCGCGTCCTCCTTGGGCCCCGTCGCGCCCCTCCTGGGCTTCGTAGCGCCCCTCCTGGGCTTTGTAGCGCCCCTCCCAGGCCCCGTCGCGCCACTCCCATGCCCCCTAGCGCCCCTCCTGGGCCCCGTCGCGTCCTCCTTGGGCCCCGTCGCGCCCCCTCCTGGGCTTCGTAGCGCCCCTCCTGGGCTTCGTAGCGCCCCTCCAGGCCCCGTCGCGCCCCTCCCAGGCCCCGTCGCGCCCCTCCCAGGCCCCCTAGCGCCCCTTCTGGGCCCCGTCGCGCTCCTCCCAGGCCCCGTAGCGCCCCTCCTAGGCCCCGTAGCGCCCCTCCTGGGCCCCGTCGCGCCCCTCCCAGGCCCCGTCGCGCCCCTCCTGGGCTCCGTAGCGCCCCTACTGGGCCCCGTCGCGCCCCTCCTGGGCCCTGTAGCGCCCCTCCTGGGCCCCGTCGCGCCCTCCCTGGGCCCTGTAGCGCCCCTCCTGGGCCCCGTCGCGCCCCTCCTGGGCTTCGTAGCGCCCCTCCTGGGCCTCATCGCGCCCCTCCTGGGCCCCTGTAGCGCCTCTCCTAGGCCCCCGTCGTGCCCCTCCTAGGCCCCGTCGCGCCCCTCCTGGGCCGTGTCGAACCCGCCTGCCGCCGTCGCACCCGCCCGGCCCCGTCGCAGCCGCCTGGCCCTGTCGCACCCGCCCGGCTGCCGTCCCGCTCGCCCGGCCCCGTCGCACCGGCCCGGTCCTGCCGCACTCGCCCGGCCCTGTCGCCCCAGCCCGGCCCCGTCGCCCCGCTCGGCCCCGTCGCCCCCTCCCGGCCCTGCCGCACCAGCCCGGCCCCGTCGCGCCAGCCCGGCCCCGTCGCACCCTGCCCGGCCCCGTCGCAGCCGCCCGGCCCCGTCGCACCCGCCCGGCCGCCGTCCCGCTCGCCCGGCCCCGTCGCACCGGCCCGGCCCTACCGCCCTCGCCCGGCCCCGTCGCGCCCGGCCCCGTCGCGCCCAGCCCGGCCCCGTCGCGCCCAGCCCGGCCCCGTCGCGCCCGCTCGGCCCCGTCGCGCCAGCCCCGGCCCTGTCCTCCTCCCTGGTACGGTTCCCCCCACCCCGCACCACACTGTACTGCCTTGCACCGCACAACACCGAACTGCACCGCACTGCACCACACTGTACCGCACTGCACCGCACTGTACCGCACTGCACCGCGCCCCACCTAGCTGCACTGCCCTGCACCGCACTGGACTGTTCCTGATGGCGGCGGAGCTTCGCTTCGACGCTGAAGGTCAGCCCCTAGAGTTCGAGGCGTGGCTTGCCGACCTCCGCCGCCAACTCACTGGCCAGCGGCAGGATGGTGAACCGCTATCAGCACACCTTGACGGTACGCTCCCCTGCCCAGACCCCCCTGCTATTCTGCCCGCTGACCCCACACCCACTGAGCGTGAGTCTACTGCTGCCACTACCCGTGCGCGCTCTGTCTGGCTTTCTCGCGATGCAGTCGCCCAGCTTGCCATTAGCAACGCCCTCCCCCCGTCCGAGCGTCCTCGCTTTAGGTCCCTCACTACTGCTCAGGCTTACTTAGATGCAGTGATCAAGCGCTATTCCACCCCTCTGGCTGCCTCGGTGGGTCGCCTGATCCTCCCGATGCTCTTTCCTGACCTTGCATCTTTCCCCACCGTCTCTGACCTCGCTGCCCACCTGCGCTCGATAGAGGAGACCTGGCGCGCCGCCTGCACTGACGCACAGCTTAGAGCCCACCAGCCGCCCATTACCTCTACCCTCTACCTGCTAGCCACCCGCCTCCCTGACCGCCTTGCTGTCGCCCGCGACCGCTTCCTTAGCCTTCACCCCGCCGACCTCACCCTCACTGACTTTGTAGACACCCTGACTGTGATAGAGACCCGTCACCGCTCCATCGCCCAAGCGAGCGGTGTCGTGCCTGTCCCTATCTTTCAGGGTTGTGCCCCCGCCCAGTGTACCTTCTCCGACGGCTCTGTCGCCGTGGCTGAGACTGCTGCTGCAGCGCAGTTTCGTTCGGGGAAGGGGCGCCGCCCCAAGGTTGGGCGCGGCGGAGGCGGAGGCGGGGGTGCGGGCGGGGGTAGTGGTGGGGTCGGGTCGTCTGGTGCTGGAGCGGACGAGGGGACCCTGCCCAGTCCAGCTGAGTCGCCGCCCCTGCAGTTGCAGCAGCCGCAGCAGCCGTCGCAGCCTTCGCAGCAGCCGCAGCAGCCGTCGCAGACGCGGCAGACGAGTGTCCTCCCGCCCGGGTGGCCCGGCGCTGGCGGTGGCCGGGCGCGTGGTGGTGTCTCGAGTGGCGGCGGGCGCTGTCAGTACCAGATCCAGACCGGTCCTCGCCGCGGCTTCGTTTGCGGTAAGATCGGTCACTCCACTCCCCGCTGTTTTCGTCGCCTGGACGACCTCTTTCGTCAGCGCTTCGGCCCGTCGCCGGACCTCCCGGACTGGCACAGTTTGCTTAGTCGTCAGATTCAGATTTTTGATCTTGACATGGATGCCATTGTTTCTGCTCTGCATGTGATGTATGCTGATGACTCTAGTGTGCTTCCTGCTTATTACTCACTGTTGCCTAGTGTCGGTGTGCCTAGCTTAGCCTCCCCTGCTGCGTCAGGCGTAGGATCCCCTGCTTTGTGTAGTCTTGGTGCTTCCACCGTCGTTCCGTCGCCAGACGCCTCTGCTTCACTTTCCTTCACCTTGGACTCTGGCGCTTCTCGGTGTTTCTTCCGCGACTCCACCACCCTTACGCCGCTTCCTGTCCCTGCTGCCGTTTCTCTTGCTGACCCCTCCGGAGGTCCGGTAGTCGCCCGCAGTTCCACCACCCTTCCCTGTCCGGCGGTTCCTTCGGGCACTCTTACAGATCTGCACATCCCCTCGTTCTCCAGGAACCTAGTTGGTGTCGGCTGCCTCCAGGACCTTGGCGTCACCACTACGTTCCCTGGTCACGAGCGGTATGCTGTCTGTACCGAGGCTGCCACCGGTGCCCCCCTGTCCACGTTCCCCCGGGACCCGGTGTCCGGCCTGTTCACTCTGGACACCGTGACCCCCCCGGCTGGAGCGCTCCCCCAGGTTGCTGCTGCCTGCTCATGTCGGTCCCTCACTCACCCGACCCTCCTTTGGCACCACCGCCTAGGTCACCCTGCGCTCCCGCGTCTACGTCACATGTCCCAGCACGGTCTTGTCCTTGGTCTCCCAGGTTCTCTCCCCGCGTTTCCCTCCTCCCCAGCCCCACCTTGCACGCCTTGCGTCGAGGGTCGGCTTCGCCGTGCCCCTCACTCCTCCTCGTTTCCCCCTACCGCCACGCCGCTGCAGACCCTGCACCTGGACGTCTGGGGCCCCGCCCGCGTCCCTGGGCCGCGTCGAGAGCGCTACTTCCTTGTGCTTGTCGACGACTTCACTCGTTACACCACAGTCTTTCCCCTGGAGCGCAAGGCCGACGTGCCTGGCGCTCTCATCCCCTGGCTTGTCTCTGCGCGTGTCCACCGCGGTCTCCCTGTCTTGCGTCTTCACTCAGACCATGGTGGCGAGTTTGCCTCAGGTGTCCTTGGTCGCTTTTGTCGTGCGGAGGGCATCACCCAGACGTTCACCCTACCGGACTCCCCACAGCAGAATGGGGTCGCTGAGCGACGCATCGGTTTGGTCATGGAGGTGGCCCGCACCTCCATGGTCCATGCCGGTGCACCCCATTTTCTGTGGCCGTTCGCTGTGCGCTACGCTTCTCACCAGCTTAACCTGTGGCCGCACCCTCAGCAGCCGCAGGTTTCGCCGACCCGTCTGTGGACTGGGTCTCCTGGTGACGCGTCTGCGTTCCACGTCTGGGGCTGCCTTGCTCACGTTCGTGCCTCCGGCACGGACAAGCTCACTGCCTGCACCCTTTCCTGCGTCTTCCTCGGTTTTCCCCTTGACGCGTCCGACTGGCACTTTTACCACCCGCCGTCTCACCGCTTCTTTCACTCTCGTGACGTCACCTTTGACGAGTCCATCTCCTACTACCGTCGCTTCCCCCACCGTGGTCCCCCGGTTACCCCCCCCCTGTTCCTGGTCACTCCTTCCCCGGTAGTCCCTGCCCCTCCTCCTCCTCCTCCCCATCCCGCCCCCTTTGGTGTGTCCCACGTCACCCCCCTTCCGTCGGTGGACCCGGTTGAGGAGTCTTCTGACTCTGGTGGCCCTCCTGTGCAGTCCTCGTCAGCCGTCCCTCCCCTGGCGTCCCCTCCCCAGTCCCCTCCTCCACCGCCTCTGCCGCCGC